GGTGCTATACACTGCTTGATTGCAAGGTTCAAAAAAATAACAATTGAAAAATTGTTGGAGAGTGCGCTACCAATTAATTAAGACCAGTTATCCACGAAAAAAGGACCAACATAAGAGTTCTTGTGCCCTGCTTAAGAACTACATGCAATTTTTTTGCTTATTTTTCTGGGCTGGGTAGTGTTGCCTCGCCCTCTCACCCTCAAGCCACGAGCACTGATCACAGTAGATCAGACAAAAACTCTAAAAATTGGCTCATAAATTTTACCCCCGTGATTTATTTTTTGTTACTGATTTTATCAAAAAAAGACGCGACTACGAAACTGTGAGAAAAATGGCTTTTTCCCAGGAGAAAAACTGAGCACATTTTTGAAACAATACAATTATAACAATTTTTTTTTTTAATTCTCGTTGAGGAAAACAAGCAGCAGGTGTAGCTTATATCCCATTTTTTTGGTTTCAATTTTTTTGTTGTTTTTTGACTCTTCTGATATTTCAGACCTAATGATTCCATTCCAGGATGTTATAAGTCCTCACATTTTGGAACAAACAATTTATTAAAACCAACTGCTACTTTGATATACGCAAAACTCAACACGAACAAAAAGATATTTCAAATTGCTTAAATTATTTGAAAATTTTGCTAAGAAAATCAAAAAGCTTATAAGAATTACATTTTTCAACCTTCACTAGACAAGTAGCGTCACGTACAAACTGATAAAATTTTTTGAGCATCCCGTTATTTGAATCAATTATTGTTCTTGAATTAAGATTGGTAAAATTAATGAGCCTGCTTAATTTTCAAACGCTACAAAGAAATAGTAAAATGATAAATTAATATGTAACAGGGCAAAAAAAGCTCACATGTGAATGTTTTTTTCAACTTCGAATATAAAACATCAATAGTTTCATTCAAATTTTGCTAAATAAAAATTCAAAAATTAGTTTAAAAAAGAATCCCCCGACTCAAATTATTCCGTCACATTTTCACAATTTGGAACAACTAGTCTACAAAAAATTTGTTGCTGAATATTTGGCTAGTTTTTCAAAGTTTCAGTAGATTTTGTTTTGTGTTTTTTTGATACAGAAATTTTTTGCGGCTGTAGGATTCATTTTATCTATGCATGCAAAAAAATAATTCAACACGCAAGCTTTGAAGTTGAAACGAAAAAAAAAGTAGCTATTTTGGCAGAAAAAGTTTTCACAATACCGCTGGCAGCTTACTTTGAAGATCAAGAATCATGTCGCAAAATAACGTCGGTAAGAAATTGTTTTAAAATATAATATTTCTGTAATACTTGTAAAACGCAGAAAAAGGAAACAGTCTCCCACATGCAAAACTGACAAAAAATATCAATTTTAATTTTGCTTCGTCCCATCAAAATAATTGAACTGAAATGTGAGCCACTAATATGCACTGTTGAAAAAGAGGTTACATGACTAATGAGAAGAATGAAAAAAGGGTAATTCCATTTGTATAATAGAAGTTGTTGGGTGGATACACCTGTCTCAAAAAAAATTAAATAAAAAAAAAACACAGAAACTTTTCTATGTTTTAGGTTTTTTTTTCGTTTAGAAAAATTGCACCATCTTTTGTCATGAAAATATAGGCGTCGAAACAAACTTAAGCAAAGGTCTGACTTTATACCAAAACGGAAATAATTTTTATCTAAGTGGTGTTCTTGTTTTCTTCCAGGTAAAACTTAACTGCAGCGTACCTTCTCTACTACATACTGAAAAAATTTTGTTCAATTTTGCTTGTTTTTCGACGGATTTCGGACTGATGTGCTATGCTTTGCAACTAGACCAATGCAAATGAAATCACTTACAACTTTTCAACTATCATTTCTTTCGAGGTTGATAAACGTAATTATAATTTCAAATGTTGTTGAAACCCGATTGTTTCGAGCAGGCTTTTTCTATGAAGACTATTGTTTTCTTGCTCCGAAACTGAAAATAGGGATGAAATTTGTCTTTGGGATATTTTTCATCTATCGCAATATGAGGTACTGCAAATGCTCATCCTCATCCAATGGGTGGAGCGATATGTAATTTAAATGTTTTTTCAATGGTGATAGAACTAAGTTTTAAAGAAAATTAAATGAATATCTAAGTATCGAAAAAAAATGGCTTGATAATTTTGTTTTCGCCTAATTTAGAACGAGTATAACCAGTTAGTAGTTCTTGTTTTATAAAAAACATGATTTTTCATTTACACCGGAAAATAGTTTTGGAAAACTTTTCTGAAATGTTTTTTGCATTTTTCGAAGACAACCATTATCATTTAGGCCTCTTTCAAACATTTCCCAGGATCGTATTCTTTTCTCGTCCTGCACACAACCGAGCACACAACGGGAATAGTTTGAAAACTGTTATTTAATGAGTGTGGTCGAAACATTATATGCGACTCGCAACCGGCTATCCTTGTTTTGACTGCTTTTTCAGTGCTAACTGTTTTCCTACTACAAATTTCTGCAAAAATTAGGCAGTGGCAGTTTTTGCAGCAACTTTTCCTTCAAAACGAATAATCCACAGCGGAAATGAACAGCATGCGAAATTTTTCAGCTTAAACGGAGAACCGCTGTTTTAAGAACTACAATCCTATTTTTTTGGTTAATACTAACGTTAGTTAACCCAGAAGCATCGAGCACGGATCTTAGTGGTTCCCACAGTCTGCTCTTTTGATTGAGAGGCAAAGACCTAAATTCTTCACCGTTCCTCCGGCAATTGCCTAATTCCAAAAAACGGCATAAAAAACTATACGACCTTGTAATTAATTGCTGTTTTCTTGTCAAAAACTCTTTCAACTTGAATTTCTTTCAAGATAATTTTGAGTTTTGACACAGAGGTGAAGCTGCGCTTCGCAAACACAGGCCAGAATTTTTTAATAAAATTAAAATTCTCAGACTTGCGAGGGTAGCTTCGAGAAATCCAGTAGTTTACAAAACTCTTAGCTTTGGGAGAACAATTTGTGGGGAAAAATTTCCCTCACAGACATTTACCAAAGCTGTAGAAAGGGGGGTACTGTAAAAAGAGACTTGGCGTTTATGCAAGCACACAAGGGAGTGAGCGGTCTTTCCTTTGATTTCACCTATTTGCAAATCGAAAAGTAGATTTCGAAAAAAAAACTATTTTTTTTAAAGAAAATAGAAAAAATGACAGAAAAGAACCAAACCTCATACTATTTCATCAATTTTTTATACGCGGAAGCGAAGCTGTGCTTCGCAAACAATAGCGAGAACACTACAACATGCAGCTCTATGAAGTGCAATAAAAAGATAAATAAGCCTCGAATAAGGAAAAAATCGGCTACGTCTAGGGTTCGATCTGCAACCTAGAGATTATGTGTTTCACAAACTAACCACTCAGCCACTGACACCTAATTAATAAGCGTCTTCACTTAGTTCATTACTATTAATCAAAACTACTAGACCATAAAAAGTAGAAAGCAGATCCTAAGAAATTTACAATGCACAGATCATGAGTACAGCAAAAGTACCACCAAGTAACTGAACACTTTGAACGAACAATTTCATTTGCAAGTTAGTTTGAAAAAAAGTAGGTTCGTACTAATACGCTAACAAGCGTACGCTTAAGCGCGCTAGTGTAATCCAACAGGAACAATCTTATTGAATCATAAATAAAAAATCTTACTTTTTCAAAATAATAAGCGTGAAAGGCGTACCAGATAGCATATAAAAAACACAGAAAATCAGCCGCAAAAATGAGGACGAAAATCTCAGTTCGAAAAACAAACATTCTTTTTTAAAAAAAAAACAACAAAAAATTTATTACTACCGCAAATGAAATAGGCAGCAATTTTAATTGTATTTTAGAAAATTGAGCATTTCTGAGTAGCAGAGAGTGTAGTTGTTTACGGGAAAAAGTCTAGTTCCCGATTTAAAGTCGCTAGCTCTCGCAATTGAAATTATGGTACGTTGTTTGAAATAAATATCTTTTTTCGGTTTATTTGAAGAATTGAAAATGCATCAACTGTGTTAATTTATTACTAAACGAATGTCAATGCACATGCTATCAAAGCGGTAAGGTGACCCAAGAGTGGCACCAACATTTGCGACTTAGGCTAGAAAAAAGAGTCGTACTATTACAGCACGATCGCTAAAGCTTGCGTGTGTAAAAACCCTGTGCTACTTATTTGATCAAAAGATTGTTAAGTGAAAACTCAATTGTTAGGTTACCTTCTAGAAGTCACTTCAAGGAGAGCACTAGTTTAGGAAATGCTTATGTACAAAAATTATACAAAAACGCATTACATCAACAATATGAATGATTAACAAATTAATGAACAACACCCTTCATCTTTAGACCTGACAAGATCGAACAACATAAGTAGCTTAATTATTTGCTTAATTACACTTGCCAATCAAATTTCTGAGACACGAATTCAAACAGCGAAATTCAGTCTATTTTTATGTGCTTTCCGAATTTAGAACTAAGAAAAGCACAAATTTGATCATTAGCTAATACATTTTAGAAATTGAAAAAATTAACAAGAACTAGGAAACAATGAAAGTAACCATTCAAATCTAACTACTACAGAAAGCACAAAATCATAACAAAAATTAATGCAATCTGAGCAAAATCGAAGCAGTCAGGTTCTTTTGGTAGAAAATCCAAAGATTTTCATTGACAAGCTAGTGAAACTACAGAGCTGTTATCGATGCATGCCCGAAATTGCGGCTTTACTTGATACCATAAATTGGAGAACCCAGTGATCAATAAATATACAAAACTATCGCCATTTCCCATCTACTTTTTAACCTCAAATCACTTTTCAATCGGTTCACTTATTTCACCCAAAATAAACTAAATGATTTACAATAGTTTTTTAAATTACGTTTGTACAAGGCATTGAATTTCAACCAATCAGATTCGAACATTATCAATTCTGGTTTCCAGTTTTTGATCTTAAGAAACTGAAATGAATAATAAAAAACACCAGCTCTAAGCTAATATTTAGAAATCCAGTAACCAAAAAATTCAAATCAAGCCTAAGGTTTTTGGTTAAATGATGACTTCAAAAAGGGTATCTCCATGAAGTGTAACTTGAAGAAATCTTTTAGAAGTTAGTTATAATCTCGTCAATTGACCCAATTATCATTTTTCTTATTTTCTTCAAAGACTTCACTTTCCCCTTAGGTAGTTTTTCAAAAGACGATGGGAAATGAGACAGGGCTTAGAGAAATTATTTTGATTTGGTTAATTAAGTTAAGTAATTTTAATTGCATTCTATTACATTGCAGGACGACAGGCGAATAAATTAGTTTAGCACTCAAGTTATGTGATTAAATCAAGACAATATCTTCAGTCGAACCCAACAAGTACGCGAAGATCAACAAAGAAAAAACTGTCTTTCTCTGCACCAGAAAACTATTCAAAGTCATGTTATTCAATACATTTGAACATGAACAAGCGAAAATTGGTAGCATTTCAATAAAAGACAATTCGTCGCAAAGCAATATTTATTTAAGTAATTCGAAGCGAGATGGTTATTTTTTTTCTAAATGACCCGTAGATCTAGCCGCTTGTTAGCATTTTCACGAATATTGTCTCGACTATAAAGTTTATCCACAATTTTTATTAGCGTATGTTGATTCGTGACAAAACAGCTCAATCCACTTTTTAACTACTTAGCAAAAAAGCCAACACTTAAAAATCATGTCAACACATGTAAAACATTTCCTAAAGAAAAACATTTACTAGCATTGAGAACAATTTTGTCACAGTTTTCTCAAGAGAATAAACTTCAAACAGGAACTGATTTGAAAAAAGATCAAGAAAAAAACTGCTGAGAGAAGATTGGATAGAAAGCGAACTAAAAGCGAATTGGATGAGAGAGGAGCAGCGAAATAATCTGGATTTATTCATCTCCTTGGGAGAGAAATGTTATCTCACAAGTGACAACACCAAAGCACGTCAATTTATCTGCACCTTGTTACCAAAGGTCTGCTAAGGTCTAACCGACCATGAAATCAAACACATTACTTTTCATTTGGCAACAGGGTTAAAGGAAAGCACAAATTTGCTAAGACTCTTTCGTCAACAAACTATTTTTTTATTTTCAACATTTAAGAGTTTTTTGCAGTTTGCAGCATTTCACCGGTCCTTAAACTTGAACATAAATTTTAAGGTTTTGAGCAATTGCAGAGTTTAAAGTTGAGCTCGTCTTCTCGTCAAATTAGACTATGCAAGTCGAACTGTAGGTGAATTCGCACGCATGCACTGTAAATCGTAGAGCATCTCAACAAGTGCTGTTGTCTTCCACATTGACAGAAGTGAGAATAGCTAGCATCTGTGAGAATGAGGGTCTCTTCATCGCACACTCCTCCCAACACTTGAACATGATCTCTGCCACTTGCGGGGGACACAGATGGGCAGGGGGCACGTCTAGTTTCAGTTCGCCTACTGTCAATCCCTTCAGAACTTGTTCGTTTGTCAGTTCAGGGTAAGGAAGCACTCCCAGACTGAACAATGCAAAGATGTGAGGGTGACAGAAATTAGCACTTTCTCATTACATCCCAGCGTCAAGTTTTACACCACCAAAATAAAATAAAAATCAGTCCATAGTTTAACTAGTCTGGAAGGTTTCGTTACTAGAAATAGTCTGGATATAAACGGAATGAGTACAGAAACCGAACAAAAAATCGATAACTTTTTCCGGAAAAATATTTGTTAATTCAACTCAGATCGGTGCTCGGTTATAGAATTTTTCAGCAACATTTTTGGAAAATGCTTCCACGGGAAGTTAACTTCCTTAGGAAGGCCCAGAGGATCTAACAAATCCAAAATCCCATATATCTAGACAAAATCGCTTGTCCTAATTTAAATTTGGTCCATCGAAAGGATCGATGGAACATTTCTTTGTCCACCGTTCGTTCTGGTTCGACTTGCTTGCATAAATAATAAGTTAATACAATGTACATCTTTAATACATGTATTAGTTTATAACATTTAAGACTTGGTTGGATGTCCTAATTCTACTGAAATTACTCTGAAAATGAACCTATTCAGAACATTCTAGAATATTGGTTGAGCTGACCTGAATATTTCCCACAGTGTGACTCCGAACGAGTAGGCGTCACTCATCTGGGAGTAGCTCTCATCGTACACAGCCTCCAGGGGCATCCACCTCAAGGGAATCAACACATTGTGGTACTCGTAGTACTCACTCCTAACACACAACACAACCAACGTCAAAACTGAACTATTCGAAAAACAAACATTCTTTAAGACAAACTCAATTTTACAAATGTTGACAATGTTCTACATTTTGAGTGAGTTAATAGTCAATACTTTTAGCAACTATTATGGATAGATGTTAGTCAGCAAAAAAAAACATAATTTTGTGGTTAAAACATTTTTAGCAATATTATTCTGTTATCTTTATGAATCATCAAAACTCAGTTTAACCAAAAAAACTCGGTTGTACGATCACAAACTAACTACTAAGTTGGTTAACATCCGTCGATCTTGATTTGATTGTAAACTGAACTAAAAACTTGTTGGCTGGACAAATAATACGATTCCAAAATATCCGAACTCATTTATGAAATCGAAATCAAAGAGATGATGTAACATTAGAAGATGATCATGATGACAAAATAGATAGTGTTAAAGGAGGATCCCATATCTACCTGTATACATCTTTGCAGAGGGAGGCACAGGATAGTTTCACCACCAGGTCTGAAGTGAGGAGGAAGTTGCGAGCAGCTACGTCTTTGTGCACCAGTTTGTTGTTGGCAAAGTACTCCAGACCACGCAGAGCCTGAAAACAGAACTCAGATAACCAATTCAGCCAATTAAAAACACGAGAACTTAATAACACATTCAGCCTGATAATCAACTTCTAAATTAAAAACTGAAAACAAAAATTCGTTGAAAACACACTGCTTCAGAATATTTCAAGCTCAACATGTTTCTTAATGTCGGCCCTATCGAGTTGAATTTTTCTGATACAATATACAGGGTGTTTTTCGGATTTAGGGAACACTTTTTCGACAGACAAGAAACTTACCAGTAACCCTTTTACCGCTCCAAACTATTTCAAGAGTTGTATTTCTTCATCGGTGTTACCTGGTAAGCGAGGTGCAGTTTGTGTGAGAGGGACATGGCAGGTGTCTGGGGCAGTCCATTCACGCCTTTAGTCGACATCAGGAATCGTTTCATGTCTCCCTAAAACAGATGCACATACTTTGATTAATCGAAAGAATGTTCCACTTCACTGGCAAAAGTGAGAGCTCTCAAATTTACAATCAATATACAGACCAATCGTACCACACCATTTCCTTAAAACGAACATTTTCAAAATCTCTTTGATTTCATTAGTATTTAAAACATATTCAACAGTTAGTTGGAAAAAATACAGTGAAGGCAACTGAGAATATTGACTTGTTTTTTGAAGAAATCTCAATTTTTGATTTCGAAGAAAAACAGATTGGCCTTAAAGCTCTTTAAAGTTCTAGAAAAATTCATGATTGAGACTTTTTAGATGAAAATTAAGCTCCACTTTCTAAACAAAAATTCGATCACCTTTACACTTTGCTGTTCGATAGTGGAGCTTACCCTCCTTTCAACAAAAGAAACTTAAAAAGAAATCAAAAGTCAACCACCAAAAGTAAACTTGAGCCTGAAAAAAATTTAAGACTTTTCGTGAAAAAATTCCACAGCCTATAAGAACCGGAACTAAGTTCATCGACTCTTAATCTTAGCAGAAATCAGTGTGCTTACAGATTGACTATATGCAAGAGGATTTTAAGAAGGCTAACTACAGAAACATTTGGTTATCTTCCATATTACTTTCAACACCATGCTATAGAAACGTTACTTTCTGACGTTACTTTCATTGCATCATAATTTTGATGTGTAGCAGGAAATATGCAGAACCAACAGACGTTCATCGACTCTTAATCAGTGAGTCGACTTTCAAAACACTACAAGATTTGTGCTAAAAAAGTTTCAGTGCGTCTAACTGCCGTTGATGAATGGTGGGAGCTGGGCCGCGGGCTACATAAAAAAATCACCACTTCACTTACCCACTCGGTGTACTCGAATATGGCGTAAAGTGGCTCCGTCTCGGTGCACACTCCGAACAGTCTGGACACATGGACACTCCTCAACTGTGCATACTGCTCCATCTCACTGTGGAACTTCTCCTGTAGCCAAACACAAAACAATACTATTAAATGCCATTTACAAGAGAAAAGAGCCTTTATATCATCAACCCTTTTTACACAAATGCTTTCGTTACCATGGTTAACATTTTATATCTAAGATTAAATACCAACCCCAATGTATGTGAAATACTATCAACAAAAGAAATATTTTCAAAAATAACAAGTTCTTTCAACGAAACTTAGTCTGACCTGAATAATTATAAGAAAAAACAGACGTTTGAAACTGCATTTCAAAAAACGCCCTGTTTTTAGCGTGCTAAATAGCAAAGACGGAATGGACTGCAACTATACGAAATAAAAAGACCTTACTAAAAAAAACGAGACTGGCCTTAGCTGTAATGAACTATGCTTTCGATTAACGCTTTTAGAGCAATGGAACTAATACAGCAAACACACCAATAAATTGTTTCCACCAAAATATCCTTCAAAAACTTCTTCGGAAGCGTACTGTGAAACGCGTATACCATCACTAGCCAATTGACAAAATTTGAAGCCTACTAAACATCGACATTCATGCTATCGGCGTCTTTAATTTACCGATCTAAAATAATTTAACAGGAAGTAAAATAAAAAGATGCTCCAAAAAATGCGATACGTTAACAGTCAAATAGTATTTTTACCTGCAGTGCTTTGTCCTTGTGCAGAAGCGACTTGACCATGACCAGCTGCTCATTTGACTGACCCCCACCTGTGGCAGTCGTAGATGTCTGCTGACTGCCATTTGACCTCATTGACCTTGACACTGACCCCGTGTCGGATAAGTTGAGTCCCATGGCCACTGCTAGGAAGACGTCTCCGAACTCGCCTCTTCCGAGAAGAGAAGTCGTCTGCAGTTCGTGTCTCGGAAACTGAAGTTTCTCAACATTCAGTGACCTATACAGACAATTACTTCATTTCAACTTCGGTGGATAATAGTCAATACGAAGATTAAGGATGTTACCATTTTTATCACAAAAAGGAGTGGCGCAGAAATCTCTCAATTTTTCTTTATCAAAGGAGAACAAGCAGTTTTGTTAGTAGCTAAATAAAATCTTAATTGCACTAAAAGTATCAGGTGTGTTGATGACACAAAATCATAGAACTCAGCGGTACACCTTGAATTCAACCTTATTCTTATATTCATAGAAGCTCCAAGGGTGGCATAACGTTTTCTACTCTGAAAAGCGTTGGACTCAAAATTTCCAAGAACTCGCCGTTTTTGCAGGGTGACCAGATCGGGCCTCAAATCTCCTGACCCCATCAACGGCTGCTTGCAATCCATCTCCAGCGTCCCTTGACCTTTCACTTGTCCATTGCCCACATTCGGATCTCCCCCTAATCCATTGTTGGCATTGGCCAATTTAGCCAGCTGTTTGTTCTTACTCGCTATGCGCCTCTTGCGACAGTAGATAGTAAGTGCGAGCATGAAGAGAATGTAACCAACTGCACACGCCACTGCAATGAGAATAGTGCGTATGCTCTGACTTCCTGAAAAGAAATCATCAACTAAAAATCAGCCAGGAGTCGCAAAACTTAGTTTCTTTTTTTTTTGCAAAAAATAATACGAACTTCGTTTAAGAAGGTTTTACGAATATAAGAACCACCAAACCCGGTGATCACTAATTTTTTGAGACACTCACCCGGTTTTGAGAAACTCGGCAATCACTTATTTTTCGGTCCGACAATAGTATGCGATAAAAACCCAAAAACATAGTCAACAGATAATTGGAAAAGTGTAAAAACACAAAAAAAAACTCAAAATTTTAACTTTTTTCGTCGTTCAAATTCCTAGCAAAAACATTTCACCTTAAAGGTCTTTTGAGTTTCAGGAAATTTTAGTCATTGGTAATTGTTTCTCGAAGTTATTTAGGGAAAACTGAATCAATAGCAACTTTTTCAATCCACCGGAAACTAAAGTCCATTAAGAAAACTAGAAGTCATTCAAGTTTTCCGAGTCGTTTACACTTTAGTTGTTCGATAATGGAGATTTGCCTTCTTTTAACAAAGAAAAACACCTCAGCTTGAAAAAAATTCAAACGGCAAAACCTTAAATTCGGGCGCAAACAAATTTCAGGGAAGTTTTCTAGTAAAAAAAAACAAAGTCAACAAAACGTTTGTGAGTGAAAAACATGGCCAAGAGAGTTGGAAAAGAATCAATGAAAGCAATATGAAACTAGAATAATTTCAAAAAAGTATCAGGTATCCAAAATTGTATAGATCAGTATCCCGAGCATAATTGCACAATTTAACATAAATCAGGTGAGAAAAAAGTGAGTGGGAGCGAGGAGTTGGACCGTTAACAACAATACCTAGCCAGCAGTAACGGCGCACAATTAATTTTTGCAAAACGACGGACAGCTACTGTAAAAGGTACGTAGCAACTAGCCGCGGGTCACGGTTGGCGAAGCGGAAGGCAGCCATAGAGGCGACACGGCAGAGATTCCAGCCAGCCACTGAGAACTTCCGCGGATAGAGGAATGAAAGTGACACCTACCTCATTGCAGGCTGAGGCATGCTTGGCAATCTTTCGGTCATCAGAAATTTCAAGAGCGTAACCGGCAGAAGTTCCAGCATGAGAGGGTGGCAGGCAGCAGGGAACTTATAACGGTGACGTCCAGAGCGGCGGGACGACCACGAGATCAGCAAGGTAGGAAAATGTCACCTGGATGACAACGCGATTCTGTGAGATGGGCTTTCTCAAGGACTGGAGAAGGGGCGTCTTTCGACGCAAGGTTGTAAATACTGTCGCGTAAACAGTCGTGCCGGTGGATGCGGCCACCGCCAGAGGAACAGGCGAGGGCGTTGTCACCGAAGACATCCAAGCTCTTGGAGCACTCGGGGCTTGAGGACTCTTCGCTTAACAGAGGTATGCCTGGTCGGAAACAAGGCGACTCTGTACTCAGCGGCAGACAAGGAGAGACCGAGGGCCTTCAAAGGGACAATCGAAAGCCAGTCGCCACTATTGACCAGAGAGCAGGACAACAACCTGGCTTTTCCCGTTCCGTGATAGCCGAATCAAGACACTCACGCCAGCTGGTGCCATTGACGATGTCGGTGAGCTTGATTTGAGCTTTAGGGGCCACAGAACACGGGACAGACTGAATAGTTGGTTCATGGTCTTGGAGGGCGGAGACACAGTTTTGCACAGAGCCGGGGGCTTGCTGGGGGGAGTTAATTATGATCTGGTCAGCGAGGGTCTTGGTGTAGACATAACTGCCTTGAAACGCGGCATGGCAGAGCTTGGAGGCGATGGGCAGCCCAATGCCTATCTTCGAAACTGTCCGCGAAGACTGCAAACGTTGACTCTCGGAAACAGCGGAGCCGGTTACTGCTTCAAGAGCACTGTGAACAGCACTGTCGAAATCTGGAGGTCCGAGGAGACGGAACTGGGGTCGCAGGTCCAAAGGCTGAAGATAATCTTCGGAAGCGCAGCGCAGCTGCGAAGAAGGTGAAGCTCCAACTAGGGGGTCTTCGAGCAAGCGAACACTCCATGAGATGCTTGCACTGCTCGACACGCTTGGAAAACATCCGCTGAACAAACTCATGGTTGTCGGAAACTCGAGCGTCGAGGTTCTTCAAGAACAATTGAAGCTAAAGGCCTGAGCGAGGACGTTTACTTTAGCCACAAGCGAGCCGTCGTCGAGGTATCGGACGTTGCAGAGGAGCTCAGGTAACTGGGACTTCAGCGACTCAAGGATCGGCTTGATGATAATGGCAAAAAGAAGCGGGGCGAAGGGGTCGTCTTGTTGAACACCACAGGCGGAGAGCACGAGAGAATCACCAAACTTGAGCCAAGACGGCTAGCTGTGGCAAAACTTGACCCAAGGAAGCAGTTCCGGAAACTGTTCAACCAACCGGGAAACAATGGCTGACCTACTCAAACTGTTGAAGGCATTCTCCAGGTCGACTTGGAGAACGACCAGGTCGGTAAAGACACTGAGGGAGCTGACCCGACTGTTGAGAGCATGCGACACGGATTCGCAGCCTCTCGAAATGCCTACTTCAACTTGCGACCGTAAAAAAATCATCGCTACCTATGTAAGAGTCTGAACGTTCATTGATTCTTGATAAATTTTTTACATTAACCTTAACAAAATGCATTGTTCCCACAACTGAAAGCGGAGAGGAACTTGGCTTTCAAATGAACTAATAATTATTTTACTTTTTTTCCCACGCAAACTTTGTTACCACAATTTATCATCAGAATGGTTCGAGTGATATATCATATTAAAATCCATTTCCTACGCTTTTTTGGAAAAAAGTGTTTGAAATTTTTGCTCGTGGTCTAACATTTGCTAGATAAAATTAAGTTATTTAGGCCACAAAAAGCTTAAATTTACTCCAGCAAAACACATGTTCGAAGCTTAATTTATCGCTTCTTAGTCAACAAAATTGTTAAAGCAATTTTTTTTTCAGTTTTTTGTTTCGATACGAGAATTTTAACTAGACATTTTTGACGGAATTTTTTTTATCATTCGAAAGACATGGTTAACTAGACATTTTTGACGGAACTTTTTTCATCATTCGAAAGATATTGTCTTGAGCTCAAATTTGAAAAAATATTTTACCTGTGACTTTTTTTCGTAAAGTTACGGGCGTTTAAAGATTGCCATTTTTGCCAACTTGGGACAATTAACGCGCGATATATTTCGCGCTATTAACGCGTAAGCGGAGAGTTAATCCCTCTTAGAAATCGTTCCAAATTGTTTGAAAGAAGCTTATTTGCCATAATTGATTCATTACAAGGAGCATATTCTATCCTTTTGTACTTTATAGGGCGTGTGGGGGATGATTTTTATTTAAAAATTTCAAACTTTAGAAAAAAAATTCATTTTGTTTTATTTCATCTAACTTTTTTTAAATGATTTTACTGCTCCATAAATCTTAAAAGGCAGTCGGAACATTCAGGGCTTTGTCCTGATACGCGCAGTCTTGTTCGATTTTGTTATTCCCTTCAAGAAAACTTAGGTCTATTATGATTACTTTAATAAATTTCCACACTTTTTTGTTCACATCACGCCCGAGAAAACTGCGAAAATTTGAAAAGAATTTTGTATGAATGTGGTCAGAACTTTCTTTACTTGCACAGCAACCGGTTACTCTTTTTAGTCAGAATTGATTGATCTCGTTTCCGTGCAAGGGAGGTACTAATAAAATCATCAGTGCTTACTTAATTACACTTCTATCAAGGTAGGAAAAAAAATTTCGTCTCTTTAAAACAATTATGTATTAGTTATTTTGATATAAAGCAATTTTTCTGATCAGTAACTTAATTGACAGAAACACTCTGAATCTTTAACAAGTTCCTTCTCTCTCTCCATCCTCTACCCCATGATTATTTAACCAGCATGAATATTGAGCCTGCATAAATATTGAAACTGCATGAATATTGAACTAAATACATATTGCGCCTGCATGAATATTGAGCCTGCATGCATACTAAATCTAATATCGAATTTCCGCTCCTACAATAGAGTGTGGGTGGGTAAATAAATGTGTATCAACTAACCCGAGGAAGCGATGATAACTGCGAGGGTGGCTTCGTTAGTGGTCTTGAGTGACTGGGATCCGAAGTTGAAAGTCCTGTTGAAGATACACCAGTAGAAGCCCTGATCCGCACTCTGCACATTGTCTATCACTAATGTAGTCCCATTCACCACCTGAAAACACACACACACATGAATTAAAAAAACAGACGAAAAAGAACAAGACATAACTTACCGAGAAAATGGCTATTACACAGGAACATAAAAAGCTCTATTTACATGTATCTTTTAACCAGATAAACTATTTCACTGTCATTATGCCAAACAAATCTGATAAACAACTTTATCCCGGGCCCAAATGCAATATGCTTTTTCTTTTAAACTTCTAAAAGTTTTTCCAATTTCGAAAAGGTTTACGGTTTTCCTAAATTTAGTCTATTAGTACCTTGATTCTGGACTGCACAGGAGGTTGTGTGTCAGTTGTGGTGCCAGTGGTGCTCTTTTGTTTCGCATCAGCCATGCTCTTCTTGATGATGGTATCCACTGACACTGGAGCTGCAGTGGTCAATCCCCCACTACTACTTGAGGACCCAGAGTATGCGTCAGCCTTGTCGTCAGACCTGCAAAATCATAATTTAACAAAACTAAATTCATTTTATTCATCAAATTTGAAACTTTAAAAAAAAATTTAACGATTGTTTTTAGTCTTTTGCTACAAAAACTGTTTTCCAATTGGCCTTATTGATTATGACCGTCGATTTAGCCTAATTTCTATTTTTTTTCAGATCTTTTTATCACAGCACGCAAAAAAAAACAACACTAATTTGAAGAAAAAAAACGTATTTTTAAAGTCTATGGTCGGAACATTCTGTGCTACTTGCACAGTAACTGACTATCCTTGTTAAATTTTTATTTGATTTGCACTTTTCTTGTATAAGGTTCTCCAGTTAAATGAAACTAGCGTTTAACGCACCTTCGGTGCTTCGAAATTTTTCGACAACTCATGAAAAACCGCATATATTGGAAACAACATCTGCAAACTTTTAGTGTACTCTGACTGCACCCAATTACAGGGTTGGTAATTTCGAACTTTTAAATTTTTTTATTCCCATTTTAAAAGCGTCATCTCGAGAACTTAATGGGCCTCTGGAAACATTTGGAGGCCAGATTTGCAACCACTGAGAGTCCCTGAGAGCACGCTACTATAGGGCTAGGAATCCAAAACTTTGTGTTTTTTAAACCTAAGTTTCCAGAAAAAAAATGAAAAAAATGTCTTATCTCGGCAACTAAAAGGATTTGAGCATTCATATTAAGAGGCAAGATTTGAGACACCTGGGTGTACGCTGAGAATAAGATTCTATCTTCATCAAGTTAGTAAATTCACATTTTTTGAATTTCTTTGTAGATAAGTTCTTTGAGAAATTTTGAAAAAATCAAAAAACGTCACATCTCGGAAACTAAGAGCAATTGAGCAGTCGCGTTTAGCAGTCGCATGTGGCAAGATTTGCAACTCTTTAGAGTACCCTGACAACACTGAACTATAGCGTTGGGAATTTCAAAATTGCGAAAAAAAAATTAATATAGGTTTTCTGAAAACTTTGAAAAAATCACAAGAAGCGTCACATCTCGAAAACTTCAAAGAATGAGAAATCATATTAGGAGGCAAGATTCGCAATATTTGAGATTACTCTGACAGGACCCAACTGCAGGGTTGGAAATTTCAGATTTTTCAGAAAAAAATAATATAAGTTTCTGAAATTTTTGAAAAAATCACAAAAAACGTCATATCTCGAAACGTCATATCTCGAAGAATTTAAACAGTCAGATTTGCAGACAACATTTGTAATTTGTAACTCCTTAGAGTACTCTGATAGCACCCAACTACAAGGTTGGGAATTTCAAATTTTGAGAAATAATTATTTAATATTTTCTGAAATTTTTTTTAAAAATCACAAAAAACATAATAGCTCGAAAACTACAAGGATTTGAGCAGTCATATTAGGAGGCAAGATTCGAAATCCTTGATAGTAATCTGACAGTACCCAACTAAAGGGTTGGGAATTTAAAAATTAAAAAAAAAAATTTAAGTTTTCTGAAAAAAATTTTGAAAAAATCACTAAAACCGTCATATCTCGAAAAGTACAAAGAATTGAGCAGTCATATTTGGAGGCAAGATTCGCAATCTTTAAGATTACTCTGAAAGGACCCAACTACAGGGTTGGGAATTTCAGATTTTGCAAAAAAAATCAAAATAAGTTTTCTGAAAATTTTTGAAAAAATCACAAAAAACGTCATATCTCGAAAACTACAAGGATTTGAACAGTCATATTTGGAGGCAAGATTTGTAACTCCTTAGAGTACTCTGACAGCACCCAACTACAGGGTTGGGAACTTTAAGTTTTGTAAACTACTTTGTTATTTGAAATTGCTGAAAATTTTTGAAAAAACCTCAAAAATCGTCTTATCTCCTTAACTAAAATGATTCGATTATTCAAAACTGGAGGCCAAATTCGCAAACCCTATTTCGATATTGGGCTGCTTAATTTAAACTCGATAAAATATCAACTAAAATCAAATTGGAAAATCGAAAAAAAAATTCTTAACCATTGCAATATACGATATAGCTTAAACATGCAAAAATAATACGTTGAAAAAGCTTAAACATGGCGAGATAGTGAAGCCCGCATTTAAATATACAATAGATGAAATTTAACTCGAAATTTAGATTCAATTGTAAGCAGTTTCAGCAGTAGTTTTTGAGGCGTACCTGCGAGCCGGTTTGGCAGCTTTGAACCACCATTTCGTGTCTGGCTGTTGCTCCCCCTGTCCCATATCTATGGCCTTACAGTGGAACTGCACCTGGTCCCCCCTCTCCACCTTCTGATCCACAGGATGCTCGGCCACTTCCAGTTCAACTGAAACACAGCAATTAAACAGAAGCGAAGCGGAACTTCGCACCACTTGCGATGCAATATAAAACAAGCAGTGCAAGCTAGCAGACAAGAAGAGAAAGCCACTAAGTCTAAAAAACTGAAAAAAAACTTCAAAAAGTCACGTCTAGAAACACAGACATTTAATAGACATCAACAGCAGTTTAAAAAATTCAAAAAAAATTAACAAGCGGCAACTGAGCCGACGAATTTTGAATAATTTCCTGTAGAAGTAAAAATATAATTGTTGTCATGAAAAACTTTGAAGTAAAAATTTTGATCAAAGAATTTAAGCATTTTGTGCGATCCAGCATGAAGCATAAATTTCATGCTTACCTCAAAATGACCCCAAACTAGGTCACTAAGCCCATAAAAAATAAACCGAGTATAGTTTTAAAGCGAAAAAAAGGCAGCAAAATTTACGAAGCCAAGGCTAGTAAAATGAACCACTGCAGGAGTAATTCAAAACACTAAAAGCAACTACATAGTAAACTGCGTGCAAAAAAAATCAATTCTGCACGTAGGTCGACAAAACATAAGCAGATAAACTATAGGCAGACATTTTTTGGAAAGGAAGGTTGACAGTTTGAAAAAAAAAACAGTTCCAGGTGAGATTCGAACCCACGACCTTGGCCGTCCCAGGCGTATTACACGACCTTCATCTCCAGGCTAAGTGCCAGACAAGCATGTTTGAAATTATTATGAACCAAGATACAAGTGTATCAAGTGATTCTGTTTAACACGTTTTTAACCCGAAAAAAAATCTATATTCCGATTTGATAACGCTTGCTAATCGCCAGCGTAAAAATCTTTGAATTGGTTATTTTCGCAAAAATTTAGCATTTTCGAAGTGTCCAAAATGTCTAACAAGTCTAGTCTATACATAGCCAGCTAACAGGTGGAAAATAGTTATTAACGCAAGTAAACTGATAAAAACTGACTTGTTTGTTTTGAAAAACCTTTAAGTTTTGAATTGAATTTGGAAGAAAAAATAGATGGCCTCAAAGCTCTTTGAAATTGTCGAACATCTAATGATTGACGCTTATTTTTATACAATTAACCCAATTTGAGAAAACTGGATCAATAGTTATAACTTTTATTTCGCTGGGAAATCTGATAATTAATTTCCATTTTCTAAATTAGAAGTCGATCACGCTTTTCGTGACCTTTACATTTTTGCTGTTGGATAGTGGAGTTTGCCTTCCTTTTAAAAAAATGAAGTGAACTGATAAATAAATCAAAAATCAAACCGCGAAAAATCAAAATTGAGTGTGATCAAATTTTAGACTTTTCCTGAAAAAAAAAATCACCAAGACCTATATAGGAGTACTCACTACGTTCATTACTAAAAAAGTCAAAGCCGGATATCTTTTTTGAAATCTGACTATACACCGAACTTTGAAGGCTGGCTATATTCGCTTTTAAATGAATGTAGCGAAAATATATAATTTAGTAAAAAAATTTAGGAATAATTTAGTGAAAATATATATCCCTATAATTTCAGAGGCAAAGCTGCACTTCGCAAACGCAAATATTTTTAAAAAAACTACATTTACAAACGTATATCTCCAATGATGCTCAATTTGAGGAAAACATGTCGAGAAAAAAAACAGCGTTAAATCGAGATCGGAATAAGAAACACCCGTTACGAAGTTCCTCACTTCTAGTGGTCGGAAAATCAAAAAATGCCCTCTAGGGGATTGAACTCTCGGCCTACTCTCGAGTTGGAGTCTATGCGAACTTTGTCGAAAAAAGTGAACTTAAAACAAGCGTTTGCTTTTGTAAACAGAAAATTCTTCAATGACTCTCAAAGCACGCTTCACAAACCTTTGGTTTATGTGCTAGAAATTATTTTAAACAGCCTTTTTAACAATTTGACTGTTACACAAAGAAATTTACATTAAGTAGAAAGCATGAATTATCGGATCGTTGTACATATTGAGTAGCTTTTGCATTTACGCAGCCTTTCCTCATTTGGGATTTGGCAACAAATTCTGAGTTGTATTTAAGTTTTACAAATTAACATCAAAAACTGACATTATCTAAGCCCTATTCTGGATGCACAAAAAATATAAAAAACAAATGGGTTCCTCTTCCCATTTGCATCAATTTTCACCTGCTAAATTAATGTCAGACCTCATCATTTATTCCAGTCACTGTTCCTATTTGTTTCCGTCTTTTTGTCTACCCAAGAGATTCGTAAGAAAGAACACCTTGATGGCAGAAAAAAATTCGTTATCACCCTCATACAAAGATGCTCACAATTTAAAATTTAAGACGCGAGAGAGCGAATTCATCAAAAATTATTTTATACACTGCTCTTTATTCTAGCTATACTACTTGAAGGTACTTTCGTTTAGATATTTCTGGAATTCAGAGTTGTTTGCTACTCGATTTCAGTCATTTACCCAATTTCATATCCTGGATTATGGTATCATGTCTAAGTTCAACACAGCCTGGTATACAGCAGCAGTTTAGTAATTGTATACTATTCTTCCAGTATTTATAACTTCGCCTACACTATGCCTGCGGTTAGAGCTGCACAATACATAGCAAGTAGTTCCATGGATATAAGTAGAGAGTAGCCAGGAAGAGAGAGCATGTTTTCCTTGTTTAGTTTACCCTCATTACAACTCACTCGATTTCCAGGAGTAATCCTGGATGGTATATCACTTCCGGTTTCATAGAGCCAATTAGCAGATCAAAATTTCAATTATCCAAGCACAAAAAAGAATGTCATTTGTTTTACACCAGACAAAACTCGACCCTCAAAATTTGTAAATAAGATCACTTATGATAGTTTTCATGAAAAAAATACGAAAAAAACTTGAAACCATGCTTACAAACTCTTTTCTACTTTTTTTCTAGATTCGACAAAAAATATAGTAATTCTTTTGATGACTGAATGATTTTTGGCTTCTTGCATGTTTTATTCTGCTCTTACTTTCGTCTAAAAGTGAAACATGCACCTCTTTTTGTCATTTTGCCAACTTCAAAGTGCCATTTGAAGTTAAAACATGTACAATTGAGCCAACTTCAATTGGAACACTTAACACTGACGGAGCGACATTTCCGTTCGATTTATTTCGCAGCTACTCTTTGAACATGTTTTGTACTTTTAGCCCGTGGGAAGTTCCTCAGTTGAATCATAACAAAATTGAGGCAAACTCTACGAAAGAGACAAACATTATACTAAACACGCCATGAAGCAGAATATTAGACCAAATTTGACAGCTCAGGCAGAAATCAAGTATAAAAACATTCGAACCTTTGAAAAATGAAATACTTATATTTTTCCAGATAAATCTAACCCAGACTCAGAAGAACAAAACTATCGCACAGGAGATAATGATTAAATGAATGATAAGGGCCTCCAAGTTCAAAAGGCATACTCGCGCCGGCTTCAATTTCTAGGATAACTTAATACTGCATGAATAAAATGTCTGTTGTGCTCAAATTCAGACTTCGCACATGTATGTAACCATCAATTAGCCTAATTTCATAAATTCTTTTCGATTTTTCTGTGAGGTACGTGGCGTTTAAACAAAAACATGACGCACTTATCCGATTTTGATTACAAAATAATCGGCGCATGAAATCGGCTATTTGGTTGGAAACAGAAAAATCAAAAAGAATTCATTCATGTAAATTTGACCCAGAAGTTGAGGGGTAACAAAGCGCTTTTGCCGTCAAAAATTAGACCACTGACCATATCAAAGCACAAGTTTAAATAAAAAGCGAGCTATGACTCAACAACAAACAAATACTCATATTTGACCTAGATGTCTGGCTTTAAGACCCCCTTTTACAAAAGATTAGCGGTGCTGTACAAATCTTAAGATCTATACAAAAAATGATCATCCTTATCCTTATAACACTGATAATATTTGTGGACGGAAACAAAAATAGCTGGTATCATTCGTAAATTTCGAGTCAGTTAGTCTGAAAAACAAAAAAATGATACAACTTTTTTGAATCTTTTTACTGGTAGTAAGGGTAGGTTTGAATCAAATCAGTTGATCTCGTTACCTATCCTTTTAATGTTCAGTGCAGCCAGGGTTGGTTAAAAAGCATAAAATTATTTTTATACGTTCAAAACGTTTTAAAACCGTTTATAACAGTTTTCCTACAGAAAATTAGCAGCAAACCTTACATGTGCCCGCCAAAATGAACAATTCCATAGCAGCTAACTTATTAATAGATGTTTCCGCCCTGATGTTTTCAAACACACACACACGTAGAAAAAATAACTTTGTTTTAAGACTGTGTTGAAACAGGGTTTTAAAAAGGCTTCAAAACACTTTGTTTTAAAACACCGTATTTAAAACCCGCCAACTGGAGTGCAGTTTTTCTTATTGAAAAAAAAATCCGATAGCTAAGTTACAATATTTTTTGAACCTCAATCAATTGCAATTCCAATCACGGCTGAAAGGGTTCCAATATGACACCACAGTTGACTACCTACGAGCTTTCTTGGAAGTAGTAGAATACAGTAGAAGGAAACAAAATGAGTAGCAGGAAAAACAAACAGTCTAAGTTCCGCCTCAAGCAACTTCCAGTGACAAAGTCGGAACAAAAATTCTTGGCTCATGTGAACAATTTCCTCCACCGCCTTGATCAGGTGAACTTACCTCCCCCTCCCTTCCAAATAAAAATGAGAAAAAATGAAAAAGCAACCAAGTGCAATTTCTGATATATAAGTTTTTTTTGGGGGCGGGGGGGGGGGGGGGGTTCACATCATGGTTCAAAGTCCCATATTTCAAAGATCTTAGGGTAGTATAGAAATTCTATACTGACTTTGTTTGACTACTCGGACGTTGAATGTGCGCGTGAGAACAGTCGGCTCCTCCTCTCCCCCCACAGGACTGGGTTTAGCCAGTCTCGCCATACACCTGAACAAAATCAACATGAGATAAATGAACGCAGACGAAGTAAAGTGGTTACGTCTCCGCCTCTCAGTGAAGTCTCGTACTCTCAATCGAAAGGTCCGATGTTCGAGGCCCACCATGATCCGTGCTAGCTGCTAGAGGCGATACAACATTACCCAGCCCAGAAAAATTACCAACCAAAAAATGCACGCAGTTTTTTTAAGCAGTGTCACAACAGCAGTTATCTACGATGAGCTGAACAGCTGGTATGTTGCTCCTTCCCTTGCGGATAAATCGCATTAAAACAACGCCAACAGACAGTTGGAAAAGAAACAGAAACGCAAGTAAACAGAAAAAAACGCTGATTTGTTTTATGAAAGAACCTGAAAATTCGACTTTCCGAGAAAAAAAGATGCCCTTAGAGCTGAATTTGAAAAAAAAACTGGATCAATAAGTAATTTTTTATTCACTGATAAATCGGAAAACTAAATGCCACTTTCGAAACTAGAAGTCGATCACGTTTTTCGTGACCGTTACACTTTTGCTGATCGATAGTGGAGTTTGCCTTCCTTTCAACTTTCGAACTTTGAAAAAATTATATGGCCTGAAGTTCTTTTAGTTGCTATAATAATTTATGGCTGACACTTTTTTGATAAAATTATCCCAATTTGAGAAAACTGGATCAATAGGTAAAACATTTATTCGCTGGAAATTCTGCAAATTTAAATTCACTTTTAAAACTATAAATCGATCACGCTTTTCATAACATTTACACTGGCTGTCCGAGAGTGGAATTTACTTTCCGTTTAACAAAAAATGAACTGAACTTAAAAACAAATCAAAAGTCAAACCGCGAAAAGTTATAGTTGAGCCTGAACAAATTTGAAGACTTTTCCTAAAAAAAAAAGAAAAAAATTATCACGACCTATAAAAGTCTGAATTATTTCATCGGCTCTAAATCAAACAAAACGAAAAACGGCAACAAGTAGCTTTACAAAAGAAAAAGGAAAACACATGTTATTAAACTTTTAATACTAACAAAAGTGCCACAAAAATGAGCACTTTAATGGGGAGTTGACCGAAAATCTGTGTAATTCGTAATATAACACAAGGCTCACTAGACTAGATTAATTAAGCCACAAAATTAACACACCAACAATTTCAAAAAATAATAGGTTTAAGAATTAAAAGCTCCAAATGAAAAATGTTTAAAATTTCAAACCAATCTTTGGGAAAGTTATGGCTCAATTTTTTCATAATAATAATCATTTTGTCATAAAACAACTCGCAGAAAAACAATGCCTAATTTGTCCATCTCGGTAGTTATCTTTTCCACTCCCTTCTTTGTTTTCCATTTTCAAAGGTGGAGGAAAATGGAAAAGAGCCCAAAGTGATATATTTTCGCATCATCTACCATATTAATTGGATCAATTAGCGTGGCTCAACTGTCAATCAATACCGCAATTTTGAAAACAATTAAACATTGTCAACATGCAATGAAAATTGACATGATAAACGAACTAACAACTGAGAACAGATGTTACAAAAAAAAGTTCCTAAAAGCTCGATTAAGCTTCTGGGCTTTTACCTTGGTTACAATATTTTTTCAACAAAGAGATTAATCATTGTTGCAAATTATGTTACGTAGAACTTCAAAAACTGTATTCTATTAAACGCTTTCTTAACATTGAACAAAGAAAAATGTTTGGGGGTATCAGCTTTATCCTATCCTGACTTCATTATTGTAATTCATTGTTCGAAATTAAAAAAAAACGTTGCTTCAAAAATTACAGAGAATTCAGAATGCTACCGCTAGATTTCTTTGGGCGTTAGTATCAAGTGAACTTCTAAAAAAATTACATTGGCTGCCAATCGATCAACAAATGAAGTTCTATCAACCCTATCGGCAGAAAAAAAATTTGTTGTGCCAAAATGCAGTATATAATTTATGAAAAGAAGCATTTCCTACCAAGTAGCGGTAACTTGGAACTCACTGCCCGCTTTTTTAACTGATATTGACGAACTTGCTGCATTCAAACGAGCCTTGAAGACGTCTTTTTCTGTGAGGCTTTGTGAGCCTTCCACCACTCTTCAGTTCAAGAAAGAGTGGCAAAACCAATCATCATCATCGTCATCATCATCATCAATATACTAGCTTGTATCAGTGCTCAGCCATAATAACATATACAACAACTATCAGCAGAGAAGTTTTCAAATTGGCGGAAAGTGGGGAAAAAGCTCGAAGTGATACATTTTGCATTTAACATATTAACAATATTTGGATCAATTAACGAGTCTTAACTAAAAATTTCTGAGCTAGATTATTTCACCGCTATTGCTATGGGCTAAATAAACTAAGGAAAATTCAAAATAGTGCTAAAATTAAACGCCCATAAAATGCATGCACAAAATACAGGTAGCATATCGTTTTCAATTTGAGCTCAGGGCGTCGATATATTTCAGATGGTATAAGCTTTAGTCAAAACTGCCTAATTGAAAAAACAAAATTGGTCTGAGTAAAACAAAAACAACCCCAAGTATAAAAACTTTATCACTTTCTCCGGAAGTCGAATAAAAAATGTACGTTATGACATGTTTTCGTACTGCTGCGTCACCATGATGATCAAGTATTTGAATTACTGAACCTTCAAAAATGCATTTAAATACGTTGTTGTCAGAAGCGGACAACTACCAAATAATTAAAACCTAATTATTGTAAAGTTCACAAGTCTGTAATTCACGTCATTTGCTGCTTCTTATTGCTTATTTACACCATTAAAATACCAAAAGAAAAACGCAAATAAAACCATTGACAAAAACAGTGGTTTTTTCAGTATTTTCTTACATACATTTGAACAAGGGTAGCGGCTGCTGTGAAAATAGTACAGAATGTTCCAACTATTTTCATGAAAACTACAAATATTAGGAAGTTCTTCAAACAATTAAGTTCTTTAAATTGGCATCGTTTTTTTAAAATATGGCGTGATAAAAAACTATGCACACGCGTTCGAATCACGACTGAAATGGCTTTACACTGAGGCAAAGCTTCGCTTCACAAAAACTAGCGATAACACGACAAAAATAGCTCTAGAATGTACAATAATAAAAAAGAAAGCCTCGAATGAGCAAAAATTTGGCTAGCTCTAGGATTAGATCTGGGACCTAGTGCAATCAAGAGATTTTGAGTCTCTCGCACTAACCACTCAGCCACGCACGCTTAACCACCGACAAACACTACTCACGAATGAATCAGCTACATATGCTAATAAAAATTCAATGCGATTCAGCAAAACGGGCACCAAATACAAATTGACACAATTTTGCAAGTAATAAATTGGTATAAAACACATTAACTTTGCACGTAACAATTCCCAAAGCATACAGCCACATTATGTATAAAATATGCATTTTAAAAAAGCGAGATATATTAGCGAGTTAAAAAATTTGTGAAATCGAGTTTTTATTATTGTCAAGTTGTTTGAAACAACAAGCTTTTTTCGGTTCATTTGATGAATTAATAGGTTCATTTGTAAATTTATTAGTATTCGAATGTCAAAGCACATGCTACCAAAAAGCTGTAAAGGTGCCCCAAGATTTGCACCAATAATTTCGACTTGGGTTAGCTCTATAACGTGCAATAAGAAAAATTAGAAATCAGCCTCGAATTAGTAAAAACTCGGCTACGCCTGAGATTTGAAAATTCCAAATAAGTGAACGCTTTGATTTGCGAGTTAGGTTTGAAAAAAGAAGGTTCGCAATAACACACTACACTGATTGCTAGTGTAAAAAGACTTCTTCAGAGATATACTTAAGTGTCATCACGACATATATCTAAGTGATTACATCCATTGACACTCGAAAATAACTGTACTTAAACTTCAAAAAATTACACACCTGTAGTTTCCGTTCTGGGCTGGATCTGCATCTCGGAAGACAAGTTGGTTGCTCTCATTTAGACTCACACCAGCAGGTAGCTCGCCTCCATTCTGGACATCCCACCTGATAGATGGGGGCTCCGAGTGGGGTCCCTCTGCGTTGCAAGTGATAGACTCTGTCTGTTTGGCCCGAATGTAGTGCACGTAAGAAGTGTTGGTCCAACTGGTCGGATTGAGGAATTTAAATCGTTCTAAGCAACCAAAAACTTAACTTTGCTTATTTTAATCGTTCTAAGTGACGCAAACTCAAGGTGATACCGGACGGGCTACGGCAAAGTGAATGACATTTACCTCCCCCAAAATTTAAGGCCCAAGTTGAGATGGGCCGGGGACTAATAAAAATAAACTTGAGTTAAAAGATTTTTAGCCTGAGTTAAAGGAACCAAAAACTGTTTTTCGCTCTTGTTAACCCATATTTCTCCAAATCATTAGGTAACTGAAGAACGAAAACAAATCATTTGCCAAACGGTGATTGAATATAGAAACAAGAATTAGTCCAGAAACAAATAAATTAAAATGAAAAAACTTAGCTATCAGGTGTGTTCAAAAAAGCTAGTAAGCTCATGTCACAATTCCGGAAAACCTTACCCAAGTCCTTAAATCCCTTCGTCCTTGCGGTCAGTTCATTTCTATCGTTATTTATTGATGTAACTTTCGAGAAAAATAGGTCCAAAAAGACTCAATAGAAGAAGAATTTACATGAAAGAAGCAATTAAGTGAAGCACCACGTCCCTATTCAAAACTGTGCCAGTATGGCACCCAAAAAGGACTATTTTGGAACTTATTTTCTTCCACCTTATTGATATTATACTTACTTCTGACTATTTGAGATGTTCGACCTTAATAGATTTATATCTGTTGTTTCTCTTGTGATATGCAGATTCTCTTTAATAGTCACTGTCCATTGTACATAGTGGTATTTTGAGGTATTTGATTCCAATATATTTGATTTTTTTGTTTTATAAAATACAGAGTGAGTTGAATGTACTCACTGTGCACTTTGAGAGTGATGGTGTTGGCGGCGGTGAATGAGGCGATCTCTGGTCTGTTTCCGAATGCAGCACAAGTCAGTCGTCTGCTGTCACTCACACTCACTCTCCGCACAGTCAACACATTCCCATGGTTGCTCTTCCTACTCTTCGCCAGCTGAAACATACAAAAATGTCTATTCTGTAATCAAAAATAAGTATCAAATTCATGAAAATTGATACACTCGACACGTTTAAAGAAAGTATTTTCAACAAAAAAATCCTTATAAGAAACTTGCTTAGTTAATCAGTTCGTTTCATCATGATATTAAAAAAAAGAAGTACTTGCAAAACAAACTATATGCTCAGCGTTGTGTCACTGGAAATGGCGTCAAATAAAACAAACATTGAATCAATTTTTCAAAGTCGGAACAGTAAAAGAGATCCTACAAGTGTTTTGACGCTGGCATCCTCGTTGGAGTTGAAGGAGCTCCACTCGAAGTGGAACATGGATACGTCACTACTATTAGACAGACACTGCAGCCTCGCACTCTCACCCTCCAGCACTGAGACCACATCCTGAGAATTGGGCACATGCACCACTAAACATAACAACACAATCATCGTAATCGCTGTTGACTAATCACCCTTTTCTGGTACTCAAGGGCGTGATCTTCCAACTGGTATTCCAAACACTTCTTAAACTACTTCATGAAACAGTTCTTAAGCTCCAAACTCAGCTCAAATTCGATTTTCAGTTCCTGACAAGCGCCGGTTTTCAGCGCATAAAAAAAATAAATTACTTATTAATAACCACTATCATTAATAAATTGTCAAATTGTTGGAACTATTATATTCGGTGGCAGGACAATTTACTCTATTTCAATCTACCCTATGCCATTTTATCCTTTATACCCCTTTAACCTACGCCATTTAACCCTGACCAAAATTACGCTAGAATAAGGTTCGCACCCTCTTATTTTGTTGCGGGTCTCCTTCCCTACCTCTACACTACAGATCCATGATACCTTAAAGCTAAAAAGCTACTAGAGGCCCAGCTAAAGCTGGAGGGACCTGTTTGATATTTTTTGCATTTGTTGTACTGATGCAGGAAGTAGGTTATTTAAAAAATTGGTTGTTGCTCTATTAAAAAGTGAGAGAAATTTTTTATAATCCTGGAATTTTCCCCAGAAACATGTTCCTTGCTCAAACTTTAATGCGTAGCAGTGCTTGCACGGAGGCTTCTTACAACCTTTTGCCTTGATAAAACCTTTGATATCAGATTGAGTGGTTCAAAACTTGCAAGAAATCAAGGCCATTTTGTGTTAGAAAAATGAACGTGAACGCTTACACAGAGAGCCCTTTCTCTCTTCATTGAAACCAATAGCTCCGATTCGGGAGGGTAGTTTTTGAGAAAAGTCAAAAATTTTCAAAAAACAGTTAAAAAAATTCAAAACTTTTGGTGTAAAAAAAAATTAGGCGTAATCGTTTATGTAGCAGGGCTTCCCACAACCCAATCTACTGATTAAAACCAAAAGCTCAGATTTAGGAGGCTAGTTTCCGAGAAAGATCGAAAACTTTGATAAAACGGTCAGAAAATTGAAAATTTGACTTTTCGGAGGGTCATAATTTTTTGTGTAAAAAATTTAGGCGTTATCAATTATGCACCGGAGCTTCTTATAACCCATTCTACTCATTGAAACAAAAACCTCGAAATTGCAAGCGTAGTTTTCTGAGAAAAATCGAAAAGTTTCAAAAAACGGTAAGAAAAATTATAAGTTTGACTTTTCTGAGGGTCAAAACCTTTAGTGTGAAAGAAAATTGAGTGTAACCACTAACGCAGAGAAAAAAGTAAAAGTCTCAAAACTTGGTCAAAAATCGAAATAATGAGGGCCATAACAAATTGTGTAAAACAATTTGGGCGTAGCCGCTTATGCAGGGAAGCTTCCCAGAACCTGTTATCCATTGAAAGCAAAATCTCAGATTTGGTCGAGTAGTTTTCGAGAAAATACAAAAAAATCCAAAAATTGGGATCAAATATTACCCCATACTTTTTCTAAGGCTGTAAAAAATGGGGTAAGGTAGAAAGAGACTAGCGGAGTATGCACGTATGCAGGCAAACAGAGTGGCCGGATTCGTCATTAGAACCACTTTTTTCAAATTCGGTAGAGTAGTTGAGAAAAACGAAAATTTTCCAAAGCATCTCAAAAAAACCCGATCCCATACATTGCCATAATACCTTTTTTTATCAGACATTAATTTGTAATATAATAGTCTGTGTTATAATTCTTAGCATTGACTGTACTTAACAGCTGGTTATTGCTCAAAAAGAACTTTTTCACAAAGAACACATTTTGCAGCAACAATATTTGCGTCGCAACAATAATTGCGACTTAGGTTGGAAACAAAAGATAATTCATACTAGAACACAAGCTATACTTGAGTAAACAGCTAACTAAAACAGAAATAAACCCAAAAATCGAATCATTTTTTTATTGCGAACTATACACAACAAGCCAAATTACATGGGGATTAACACAGCGAAATTGCAAAACGCTGATCATGGAGGGACAGGAATTCACAAAAAGCAAAGAAGGGCAACGAACGTTGGAAGTGCTTAGATTGGCTTTCCCACAAATGCAAAGTAACTGCAATCACTCAAAGAAAAAATCTGTTATCTACAAGAAATGACCACAGCCACGAGGTGTTCCCTGGCCTGTCAGATGCCAATAAACGATGCAACAAATGGAACAAGTTACAAAAATTCAGCAGGTACCTGTCAACAGCTGCAGTATTGCAACGGTCTTTACCTTCGCGGTCTGCGATTGACAGGGCGCTCAATCGACAGAAAACGCTATATCCGGCATTCTAGAATGTTTATAATTTGGAAGGTGATAGAGGCCAAAACCAAAAAAAAAAATTGCCTTCTCCCTCACCACCCGTGCCCAGTACGGCCTTGGCCTGGCACACGAGGGTCTATACTCCTTTTTAAAATCAATGATTCTCATGGTATTTTTCGAGTTTCAGTTAAAATTTTTGACTTCGCGGTGATTTGATCTTTTGAACATTTCATAAAGCACATGCATTATCCACTAAGCTATAGCGACTTAGCTATACTCGGCTTTTTCTTGTTTAAAAAATAGCCACAACGCAAAATGATATAACAGGTTCATTGAACTCATTTGGTTTTTGAACAATCCAATTTTACGTTGCTTTGATATCTTAATCACATACGGCACTTATTCTTTGATCAAAATTATGGTTACTTGATCTGTTCGGATTTATTCTGTTTCGGATTCTTCAAAGAAATAAGATAAATTTAAATATGCTTCAAAAATAGGGTAAAATTGCGCAGAGTAAATTGGTACAAAAAATAGAAAAATAAGTCAAGACAGTATAGGTTAAAACGGAATAGAGTAAAATGTCAAGGAACCTTGAATTCACAATGATGACAAATGTCAATCAAGGTTAAGGTTCATTCATTTTTAGCACATGTAAAAGCTATTGATTTTAACACTAAGGCCTTCAAAAATCTGATTTAACTACGTTGAACTTACCGTGTTGGAACTTCAGATCCATGCTCAGCGTTTTCAGTCCATTTCCAATATGACAACTGAACTTCTCGTCCAAATCCATGAAATTATCGGGCAGATTCAGTATAATTGCATTTTGAATCCTTTTCACCTCAAACCCAGTTCCCGTGATTTCCTTGGTGGAACTCTCGTTTAAGAGGATGTTGTTTCGGAACCACTGGAAAAGAATCGGCGGAGGGTTTGAATCGCCGGCAGTGCAGATGTATTTATGAGTGATGAGGCTGCCAGAGCCGAAGTAAGCGATGTTCGGGTCTAGCCGCGGAGGATCGATGTCTGAAAAAGGTCAAAAACATACTGACATCGTAATTTTAATCAGAGTTTTCAGTTTAAATGAATCTCAATCGACTACTGCATCTAGTTTATGGTTGGTTGTAGTATAGGGTTGGTTGCAGTATAAAAAATCCCACAGACAGAAAAGTTCGGCACTTCCGTTCATTGCAAAACTATGGATTCTTTCTTGTATAAATAGTACTTTAAACGCTCCCATTTGTTTGTCGTCGCCCAAGTTAAGTGACGTAGTTTAACGTTTTTTTTTATTTATTGAATAATCGCATCAAGGTAGAAGTGCATTAAGGTAACTGACAAAACCATTTTCGAAACATAAAATTAACGTTTCCTTGACGAAAAATCAGGGGTTGCTTATTTGTACCCATCGTGAAATAATAGCTTAAAAAAACTCTAGGTCAAAAACAGTGTAGCCGTCTGAAAACTGATGACAAAAAGTACTAAATGACAAATAAAAATGGAAAGGCGACTTAAAAGAGTGAAAGTAGCAATGAAACGAGGAATACTAGAACGCTTTCCTCAGCAACTTTCTTCATTCGCGCGAGGCTGCTCATATCGGTCAGCGAAAAAAGTGACATGGCATTTTGGCGACCCTAGCATTTTTGGCCTTGAGGTCTCTAAATAAGGTCTTGTTACTGACAGGTGACGTTGATGTTGCAGCTGTGGGACTCCTTCAGCTTCGACCCCATCACAGACACACTCTCCACTGACCGGTCTATACTGGGAAAATACACGGAGCCATTCTGCGGGAAAGTGTAGATTCTAAAGTACACATCGACTTCACACAATTTAAACATAGCCAACATATAAAACAGTTAAAAATTTTCCTTTAAAAATTACCGAGACCTATAGGTGACAGTTGCTTCGTTCTTTTAAACGTATCCATAACGATGAAATGTTTCCAAATAATGCTTCTTACTTAAATAGCATTTAGAATCACTGAAAGAGCATTCGCCTCCTGTGAAAACATCATGAAACTTTCTGGTCTATTTTATGACGTCTCCAAAACTGTACAGGAGCGAAATCGTAGGCTTGGTTCAAAATGGTTCAAAGGATTCCGCAGGTTGACATTGTTTACAAATATCTATCATTTTTCAAGTATCGGAGAAGGAAGGGGGACGTTTCCTTCGTTAGTTTAAAGGAAGTCGGATGTTCATTCCGAGTACCGCTTACTGAATACATATATTCAGTCTCACTACTAATAATTTGGCTTTTTTCTCCTCCAAACCACCACCCTTCCTCCACCTCACATTAGCATCAATTTTATGGAGTAACGAGTAATTTTACAAGGTTAAATATTAAGACCGAAATGTGTATCATGGCCTAATAAGCTCGCAGGTCAATTTTCATAACAATCGGGCAATGTGAACAATCTTTTCACTTGTAAAGAATCACGGCTGGGGGAGGGCGAAAAAGAGCCTTCTATCTGCTTACTCTGCGGAGTTGTAGACTCTGCGCCCGTTGAGTAGGAATGAGCCCCCTATGTCTTTGAAATCCACCCACACACTCTGTCCCTCTACCACCTGCAGAGGACACTGGGTGGAGGACTGCAGCAATTGCACTGTCGTAGAACCTACACATCACAGCACCGATTCATTCAAGCAAAGCAGAAGAAGAACCATCAAAGATTCAATTAAAACAAAGAAACATTGATTTAAGCCATGTCATCAGCCTCAACTAATAGGGAAAGCGACTTAAGAATGCAATTACAATAATATTATTTATTTCAGCTGTATGAATCAAAAACACTTCATTTAATTTAAAATGATATAACTATTTCAATTTAGTTTCAGTCGCTTACCATTAGGAATTTGCTTGGTGGGAGTTTGCATTGTGGGAAGTTCGATCATGAAAGGTCTCTCCAGGAAGATATTATTCACTCTACACATGTAAGACGCCACATCCTCCTGAGTCATTGACTTAATAGTGAGGATATCAGCCTGCAACTCTACATTATCAGAAGGTGTGACTTTGTTTCCATTTTTGAGCCAGGTCACTTCTGGTTTTGGGTTGCTGTCGAAGTTGCACACTAATTTCACTGTAGCACCAATCTGTAAGTTTTCAGCCGAAGGCGCAAAGAGACTCACGGAGGTCTCTGATCCTTCCCCTAAGCACACATTAACATCTATTCAATGAAAGTGCGAATACACCAGCCAGCAACTATGCCATTTCAATGAAATTTGCATGACTTTAGTAATTGATACATAATTATTATGCAACATTTAAGTATTTTTAAATTTATTTTTCGAATAAAAATTAAACTAGCGTGTACCGCACCTCCGGTGCTTCGAATTTTCAACAACTCAAAAATTTTTTCTTTAAGTGTACTCTGACAGCACCCAAGTACAGGGTTCGTAATTAACAATTTTGCAAAGTTTTTTATTCAAGTTTTTTATACAAATTTTGAAGAACCATAAAACTTTGTGAAGTTTTATTGTAGTTCTTCGAAAAATTTAAAAAGAACTAAGAAACGTCACATCTGGGAAACTGAAAGCAATTTAGCAGTCGCATTTGGACGCAAGATTTGCAACTCCTGAGAGAAACTTCAAAATTTGTAAAATTTTTCATTCGATTTTGAAAAACCATAAAATTTTGTGACATTTTTTATATCTAAGTTTATAATGAATTAAGAAACGTTATATCTGAGAAACTGAAAGCAATTGGGCAGTCGCATTTGGACGCAAGATTTGCAACTCCTGAGAGTACTCTTACAGTACCCAACTACAACATTGGGAAATTAAAATTTTGAGAAACTACACCTCAAGTTTTCTAAAAGAGATATTTTTTGAAAACCAGAAAAAATTCACATCTCGAAAACTAACAAAAATTGAGCAACCTTTTTTGATGGCAATATTTGCAATCTTTGAAAGAACACAACTACAGGGTTGATAATTTGACTTTAACGAATTATTTTTAAAATTTGAGTTTTCTGAAAATTTCCAAAAAAATCGTCGTATCTCTCAAACAAAAATGATTTGGGCATTTTTAATTGGAGGCCGAATTTGCAACCCCAGAGATTACTCTGACAGCCTCCCAACTACAGGTTAGGAATTTGAAATTTTGGAAAAATAAATTATTTCATTTTCATGAAAAAATTTTTTAAAAAAATCACAAAACGTCATATCTGGAAAACTGCAAAATTTTGAGAAGTCCTATTTGGAGGGAAAATTCTAATTCCTATTTGGAGGCAAAATTCGCAACTCTTGAGAGTAACCTGACAGCGCCTCACGACAGAGATGATAATATTCAAGTTTCGTGAAACTTTTTTACCTAAGTTTCCTAAAAAATTTTGAAAATCTCAAAAAAAAAACGTCATATCTCGAAAACTACAAGAATTTGAGCAGCCATATTCAGAGGCAAGATTCGCAACCCCCTGAGAAAACCCTGACAGAGCCTCATTACAGAGATGGTAATTTCAAGTTTTGTGAAATATTTTATATCTGAGTTTTCTGAAAAATTTTGAAAAAAATCCGAAAAAACGTCATATGTCGAAAACTACATGGATTCGACCAGCCATAATCAAAGGCAAGATTCGCAACCCCCTGAGAGTACCCTCAACAGTATCCAACAACAGGATTGAGATCTTCAACGCGTTGGAAATTTGAGCAGCCACAATTGGAGGCAAGATCACTCGCAATCCCTGGGAGTGCTCTGACGGCTCCCAACTACAGGGGGTTATGAACTTCAAAATTTGAATAAAAAAAATCGTTAAGTTTTCTGAAATTTTTTTGAAAAAATAACAAAAAACGTCATATCGCAAAAACTACAAGTATTTGAGAAGTGAGGATTGGAGGCAAGATTTGCAACCCCTGAGAGCACCCTGACAGCACCCAACTACAGGGTGAGAATTTCAAATTTTGAGAAATTTATTAAAATTAAATTTTCTAGAAATTTTTGAAAAATCTCGAAAATTGCCTATCTCGTAAACTAAAAGGATTTGGTTATTCCTATATAGAGGCCAGAATCGCAAAACCCGGGAAATCTCTGACAATATCCTACTATTGGGTTGCTAATTCAAACTTGATGAAAAAACAGTGAATTTAAACTGGAAAATCGAAAAAAAACCTTAACCATTGCAATATACGATATAGCTTAAACATGCAAAAATAATACGTTGAAAAAGCTTAAACATGGCGAGATAGTGAAGCCCGCATTTAAATATATAATAGATTTAGCAATAAGATATAACTAGCGTGTACCGCACCTCCGGTGCTTCGATTTTTTAACAACTCATAAAAAACCGTAAATATTGGAAAAAAAATCAGCATTCTTTAAGTGTACTCTGACAACACCGAATTACAGGGTTGGTAATTTCAAATTTTGAAAAAAAAATTCTATTCAAGTTTTTTCAATTCAAATTTTTAGAAACCATTAAGTTTTTTATATCTAAGTTCTTTGAAAAACTTTAAATCTTTGAAAAATTAAGATACATCACTTCTCGGTATCTAAAACTAATTGCGCAGTCGCATTTGGACGCAAGATTTGCAACTCCTGAGAGAGCTCCTAAGTACTTTTTTTTTTAAAAAAAACAAAAACAAAAAAAACGTCATATCACGAAACAACCAAAAAATTTGAGCAGCCACAATTGAAGGCAAGATCACTCGCAATCCCTGGGAGTGCTCTGACGGCTCCCAACTACAGGGGGTTACCAACTTCAAAATTTGAAGAAAAAAAATCACTAAGTTTTCTGAAATTTTTTGAAAAAATAACAAAAAACGTCATATCTCGAAAACTACAACGATTTGAGAAGTAAAACTTGGAGGCAAGATTCGCAACCCCTGTGAATACCCTGACATCCCCCAACTACAGGGTTGCGAATTTCAAATTTTCAGAAACTTTTAAAAATTAAATTTTTCTACAAAACTTTTAATTTTTGAAAAATCTCGAAAATTGCCGTATCTTGTAACATAAAAGAATTGCCTATTGATATTTGGGGGCCGAAATCGCAACATCCGAGGAAACCCTGACAGCATCTCACCATAGGGTTGCTACTTTCAAACTTGGCGAAGTTTTCAATCAGTTTAAAAAAATCGAAAAAAAATATAGCTTAAACATGAAAAAATTCTTTTGTTAAACATGCAAAAATAATACGTTGAAAAAGCTTAAACATGGCGAGATAGTGAAGCCCGCATTTAAATATATAATAGATTATATGATGGATGGTCACACAAAATATCAAATCCCTGTTTCTCCAATAAAATTTTAGGTTTAATTTTTTTTAACAATCCAAGTATTCAGCGATGTATTCAGCACTGCTTCAATCTCAAACTACCACTCATAACGAATGTAAGAGCAGCCGATCAAGCGTTCCCAAAAGGCTAATACCTTCTACGAAATGTCACCTAAACGTATTAATGCGCCAATTTTTGTCAAAAAAAAGAGATCATGGCACAACGTGGGACTAGACATCGAATCTACAATCGAGCGACTAATAGGAGAGTTAGAGCGCTATCATTGTATGGCAATTTACGCAACTAAATGCTCTCGTGTCTGGCAAAGTATGTCCCAGACATTTATGTCCCGTACAAAACTGTTCAAAATGCAAAAATGGTCCAATATAGTTCGTTCCCAGACAAAATTGTCCCACAATTGTCCGGCTAAGTGCGACACTAGATAACAACCAGATTGTTCTGATAAAGTATTTTCAAGCACAAGGATAAATTCGATAGGCCATGCAACTGTGCAAATAACAGAATTTCTTTGAGTAGCATAGAGGACTCAAACCAGTTACAGATACCTAAACAACCATTGCTTGATTGATACTTATGGCAATTGTAGATATTAGTTTTTCTAGCGCCATTTTTTGCTCTCAATTTTGAGTTAACGATTAAATCTTTATGACAAAATTATTATTCGTCAAACAACTCTTTCTGTTCAAAAAACATACACAGAGAAACTGCAGCAGTGATCCAAAACTATTCAGCCAACCAGAGCACCGTTAACATAGTAATGCAGGAAGGACACAAAAGTCCGGACCACAAATATGTATGCACCAAGTACTCTTAATCAATTGAGTCAAGCGCATTGAGCCGAATCTTCATTAACGTAATGAACTTAGCTTTGATTCCTTTTCTACTAGCTGATTGATATAAACAAATAAGATATATTAAAGTGTTTTATGTTCTTCTTGCTTCAATTTAATTGAATCATTACTACAAAGTTCAATCGCTAGACTCATTTTTGGTCTGAATAATTGCACTGATATCATTTAATTGACGTCCACAGCTCAGCAATAGGCTCACCTGAAAATTTTGAACCAAAATGAAGAGATGCAAAAGCCGCGAAAAAAACGAACCTCGAAGAGCAACAATCTTGAATAAAAACTGGAATAACTTGAATATATACTACAAGACGAGAATAGAAAAATTATAAAACAAAGAAACTTCAACTTGAAGAATCAAAACGGAAAAATTCTAAGATGAAAAAACTTTGTAATCATTGTAGAAACACAATTATTACTACTAAATCTTCAAAACTCAAGATAGATCAGAAAAAACTGAACAAGTAAACACAGCCAACAGACAGTTGGACACGTTAATGAACTCGAGTGATTAAAAAGATTTCTGAATTTCAAGAACAAGAAGCTTAAGATTTATCGTATAGAACTAAATAACACAGAATAATTCAATCCGCAACTTCTTAGCCAAGAGACTACAAAACTCTAACAAGTTTGCTAGTATGGCTTCAAGTTACAATCCATATTAAGTTCAAAAATTCGGAAATCTTTTGAATGTTTTTTTTTTAAAAAAAAAAACAAACAATATTTTCCATTTTTCAAAACTTTTTTGGTGCAAGGTTTAGTTAAAACTTTGAAGGGGCTAAATAAAGCAAACTGATATGGTAAAAACATCGCAATCCAGCTTTAAAATCTGTCAAGGAAGTCCTACAAGTTTGCCAGTGCCAATACAACATGACAGTAATCATAAATCCGGTTTTTTAATAAAGAAACAACGAAAGCCGACTGAGTCATTTAAAATTGATCTAAATTTCATGGAGCCAAAGAAAAATCACATATTAAAGTTTTATAATCAATTAAAACTGTTAAAATCTTTGACACGAAAGGGATAGTTAAAACCTCTGAAAATTGCCTTATGGCAGCAAATGATAAAATAATTTAGAAAGAATTGTACTATAGAAAAAGCATTCTCTGGAAATAAAATAAATTTCAAAACAAAACAAGGATAGCCGGTTACAGTCCAAGTAGCACAAAATGTCCCGAGCATAGTCTTAAAAAACACAATATTTTTTTGCAATTCGATAAAAGTATCAGAACAAAACACTAGACATTAGGCAAGTTCGGCAGTCATAGTGAAATAGGCAATTCAGACAACAATTTTTGAAGAAAAATTAATGGAAAAATAAAAAAAAACTCACCTAGTCTTTCGTTTTTTTTTATGCAGAAATTTTTGATTTTTTTAATCGGAAAATGTTCGCCTGCTTTACTCGCTCATAATAGATGAAAAATCAAAAATTTCAAACCGGTTTTTCTCGTCACTGGAAATTTTTTTGAAAACTTTTAACGGGGTTCGAATCACAGCCGGATGGGCTTTATTATAATATATCACTCGACCCATTCCAATGAGTCTTTGGGGTACCTGCTTTTGCAGGGAAAAGAAAAGAATTAAAAAGAAACAACAAAAACTAACACACACCCGAATACAGTTCCTCCCCATTTTCAATGGTCGGAACAACTAATTTCAAACAAAATCAATACATGCTGGAGTGAGGATTTGGAAACACAGAACGTAACGTCAGGTAACTCTCGAAAAAACTAAAACTAAGCTAGCTAATTTTTTCAGGCGAACACGAGTTTCTTGTTCCGACCATAGAAAATGTGGAGGAATTTTGTATTCGGGTGTTTTTCTACTGTTTTTCTTTTTTCACGCAAAATCAGGTACCACATATAATCATCGGACTCGGTTGGGTGATATATCATAGTAAAACCTTTTCAGTCCTGAGTCGCACCACAATAAAAAATTTCAGTGTAAAAAAACGGTTTGATATTTTGGATTTTTTGTCTAATTTCGAGCCAGTAAAGAGAGCGAGCATGTTTATTTATGCTTAATTTAGGCCGTTTACAATAGCTCAATGCAGGAAACATTCTTATTAAGAAAACAGCAACACTTGCTGGAGATCGTTAGAACTTGCAAAATAGTCTGCATGCAAATTGGAAAATTTTCATTGAAATATTGATCTTCATTTTTTTTTTCAAGAATAATGAAAAACCCAAGGACATACCGAATGTTCGGCGAATGTTCTTGGCAAAAATTCGAAAGCTACTTTCGAACGAATGTTGCGCCACTGGTCTAGACGCTATGCTGGATTGAACAAAGCAGAGCAGATCATCTTCAAAGTCGAAAAGTGTGTCCACCTTACAGTTAGACCCAAAAATGGAAACCAAAATAACTCCTGCCAAAAAAGTGCTAAGAATCACTTATACTATACCTCAACCTAAATCACTTAACATATACTTGCCAAACAAAAGAATTCAATCTATACAACAGCCATATCTCCCCAATTTTGACAACAAACTTCTCTTCCATCTGTTTTTCTCAAGTTTTGAAGGTATGCGAATTTCGGAACGATTACAAATAGATTCTGAGTGATACCCTAGTTGAAAATAAAGGCGAAATAAGTGACCAACTAGCAAAACGAATGAAACAATTTTGTAGTGCAAGTGACGTTGTTACTAGTGGAAAACAGAAGAATGCTCTACCGTCAACACTTAAGTTGCCTATTTGGAACGCTCATACTAGTTGGGTTATGTACAACAATGAATGTTCGGGTTAACGGAGCCTGCTATGAACTTTTTTGTTTTCTAGATAAATGATGATGACAGTATTTTCGAAAACGTTCTTATTACATAGAGGCGAAGCTGAGCTTCGCATCACTTGTTATACAAAACAAAAAAAAAGAATAAAAAATTGAAAAGGTCGAAACATCTAGATCTATTAAAATAAATAAGGCTAGTTTTGAAACAAAAATATTCCAAGACAACGGAAAGTAAAATTAGCATTGAAAAAATATACCAAGCGGTAACAGAGCTAAAAAAGCCGCAGCAGAAACCCTTACAGCCAAAAAAAACCAACAAGACTTTGTAAAATTACAAATAGCGGAGGTTAATCAGAACACTAAAAGCAACTATAATGTAAGAAAAACTTGTTAAAAAATTTGAGAACGCCGTATCTCGGAAACATAAACAATTTAACAGTAACAGTTAGAGGCCAGATTTCTACCCTGACAGTTCCCCCTGAAAAAACCCAGACAGAACCTGACCAATAGGGTTGAGAATTTCAAGATCAGTGAATTTTTTTCCAGTATTTTTTAAATAACAATTAAAAAATCATAAAAATCGCCGCATCTCGTGAGCCAAAAGAATTTGAGCAGAAATATTTAGGGGCCAGATTTGCAACTTGAAGTGTACCTGACAATTCCCAGTCTTAGGGTTGAGAATTTCAAGTTCTGTTAGTTATTTTTTACATCTACCTTTTGGAAAAAAAATTAAAAATCATAAAAATCGCCACTTCACGGAGACTTAAAAGATTTTAGCAGTCACAATTGGAAGCCAGATTTGCAACCCATGAGCGTACCATGACAGCATCCCAGTGTAATGTTGAGAATTTCACGTTGGTTAGCTTTTTTATATCTAAATTTCTTGAAAAAAAAATTGAAAAAATCATACAAAACTCCATAACTCGAAAACCAAAGGGAGTTCAGCAGTCATAGTTGGACGCCAGATTCGAACTACTGAATGTACTACCCTGACAGCACTCACTATAGAGCTGAGAATTCAAGATCTGTTAGTTTTTTTATATGTCATGAGTAACAGTTCCAAATGTTGAGAATTTGTCAGGTACACATACTCACATACATTAGATTGAACCGTTTACATGGAATCTATATTGCGACTGTGTGAATAAAAACATTAGACTTCTGAAAAGAAGGCGACCCGATTATCCACTTGCAAAAAAAAACGGAACATTAAGAAATTGGACCCCTTGGAGCCGGAAACTTTTTGTAAATATTACATTTGTACATTGCACTTTATTTTTTATGTGTTTGATAAATTAAAAGGTCCTAAAATTTTCATTTGATGAAGTTTAACTGAATGGTGTCGATTGAAAGGGGGAATTACGAAAAATTAAAACCTGCAGAACCCAAAATCTTTGTCGCGTGTTGTCATTCAGAATGCAAATAACACGGAGTTTTCAGACCATTTATCATTGCAAAAAAAATTGAAACAGGCAATTTTTATTGCAAGAACAAGTCACCGCGCTTCGCAAACGCTTGCAAGAACAAGACCAAAAAGCAGCTCTACCAAATGACATAAGAAAAAGTAGAAATAAGCCTCGAAGTTGCAAAAACTCGAGGATTAGCAAAAGCTCCAATTAGCAAAAGTCTGCGATCTAGCATATTTGAGTCTCACACACTAACCATTCAACCACGGATGCTTAAAACCTCCAAAAACAAGCCACCAATAACGCAGCTACATATGCTAATAAATTGCCAAATCGATACAGCAAAAGTAGCACCAAATACAAAAAGATACAATTTTGCATGTCATAAATCGCAAATCATAAAGCCACATGCATAAATTATTCATTGCAAAAAATTTCGAGATATATTGAGTAAGAAAATTTCTGAAATCGACATTTTTTGTCTAATTAAAATTGAACTAATCAAGGTGACAACTTCACTAAACTCAGCTGTTTTTTTTTTACAATTTCACGCGATTTGAAAAACTAGTAAGGCTTCAAATTAAAAACTGACTTTTAGAGAGGGTATAGTTCAGATCATTTGCTGTCGGTCGATGTAAAAACTTTAAAATACCACGTAAAAATTGTCCAAAATGGTCCAAAAGGTTAAGATTTTCAGAGAGTGAAAACCTGAATTTGCGTTTAATTTTGCCCACTTGTGTAGCATCAGGGAAGATAGAAACATTGCAATTAAATTTCAGCGGGTACTTACATGCGATAATGACAGGAATTTTAGCCGATTCTGATCTGACCCCGTTTTCTAAAGCGGAGAAGTAATAAGTGCCATTATTTAATTTGGTAACTTCGTTTACAATAAGAATGCCTTCTGAGCCCACTGAAGTATAATTCTGGGCTGGTAATTGTGGATTTTTGTTAACAATAGGAATAAAGAACCATAAAACAGTATTTTCTACGGCTTGGCTACATTCGCTTTCAATCATGAGCTTAGAGCCCAGATCCAATTTATAAGGCGGACGACCAGAATAATTACAGCTCCGTGTAGTCCAAACAGATGCTAGAAAAAGTAGAACCTGGCTGAGCTTGAAAAACACCGGGTCCATTTAACCTGAAACTGCATTAAAATTGAACGAACAACATAAAAATCTCAATTTCAAATGTTTTTGCGCATTTTACGCATCGCCAGAACATAAATTAAATAGCTTTTAAGAACCAATTGATTTGACAACGTCAAAAAGGGTAATCAGAAGGTCAAAAGTATCATAGTAGCCGAGGTTACAGTCAGGAGTCCCTTCATCACGTATTCCAATCAAAATCCTTGGAATTTTCTAGATATGGAAGTGATAATGATACAAGAAGATGACAAGTGTTTAAGTCCTTTTCAATTAAAATCGATACGGGTTACGTTTCTTCAATAAGAACACGCAACTCGGCACGAGAAAATATAATATACAATTGTTACAAATAAAAAATTTCGTCGAAAGTTATTTTGTCATTTATTGTTCCGAGTACGCAAGCGGCGTTCGCAATCTGTATTACCAGGGAGATTCTCTGTTTTAAAAAGCTGCCTGCTCTGGAATCCTCAGTGCATATGCTTAGGTTCTTACAAAGCTTGCTCAAAAAAATTTCTGTGCTGGGGCCGGCCGCGCCCTGAATTTCAAAAGCTAGCGGTTGAAAAAGTTTCCATCATTTACAAGATCTTTATACTTGTCAATTTTTCGCTCTTCCGCTTCAACGGCAGCCGTACCAGGGTTATAAACAGACCCGGCATCAATTCTACAAGGAGCTAAGGAGTCTACTACAGTTACATCCCACAAGAGCTGCTTACCAACAGCCCATGGAACGAGCGTCAAACCGTCTGTTCGCTTCTGATCGGTCCTGTAGATGTGTCGTGGTTCTAAAACAGACGGAAAGTGAGTAGAAGATAAACTCTGATTTCTAAGGGCATTGAGGTTTGAATGCCTGGAGATTCTCCCTGCACTTTTGAGGCAAGAAAGACCATGCCAACCATCCTCGGTAACGTCTTTTCCGCACACGCATTTATGCCGTTCGCAAAATTTTGAGCCTATTGAAATTCTGAGTTGTTGGTTCGACAGTTTAATCCTTAAATTTTTGCACGGGATGACGTTCGACCACTGGGAGCGAAATCTATTTTGGAACTCGTTGAATCTTTTTACGTCCGTTGGTTCGAGTCGTAAAATCAAGTCTGCAATTTCGCTGTCAAAAATTGGCTCTCTCCAATTTTTTTGGATTTCATTTTCCGGATCTATTTCAATTTTTCCAAGCTCAAACCACCGTTTAAGCGCATCATCATAGGTTCCATCCACATGCTCCAAACCAAAAATTTGGCTCAGGGCATTTTTTGCTCCTACTGCTGAGGCTAAGAAAGCGGGTAAAGCGAGTAGACGAGCGGAAGAAACGCCCAAAACACCTTTGGCTGCCGAGAGAACTGCTTGTGAAAACTGGTTATCATCCATTTTTACGTTAGTGACCTTGCATAACGAATTTCTTAGTAATTTGTCGTAGCATTCCAAAAAATCATTTTGCAAAAAACAAGGGCTCGTACGCAAAAAATATAGGAGTTTTGGCATGCTAAAGCAATTTTTCAGGAAGTAAAAACAATAATGGGCGTCTAGTTTGACAATGACATCCGAGATTTTTTCAAGCTCCTTAGTTTTTTTGTTGAGCAGTTCTTTTCGGCAAAGTTCGGCGATTGGAGATCCTAAAATGAGGAGTTCTTCTTTTTTTTTTTTATTTGCGGCCTATTTTTTGAAATTGGGTTAAAATTGAACTATACTGTGTACTAATAAACGGTGCCAAAACAAAGTTCGCACTTCTCAATGTTCAAGCTCAAGCCGTAAATTTGTTCCGATTTCAGAATATTTTCCGGAGTACTACCTTATAGTCGTCGGCTAAATTTCCATCATCTAAATACCAGATGTTAATTTTCGACTCCAACTGTTTGACTTGTGTATGAATTGTTTCCGCAAAAAGGGGTGGGGCTTCAGTATCACCTTGTTGAGTTCCATCTTCTGACATTATGACAGAGCTTCCGTAAAAAAGGTAACTAGATTTACCATACGCGCAATGCGTGTAATTATACAATTCGGGGCGATTTGAATAAACACGATTCAGCATTGTTTCTCAATTTAGAGAGTTAAGGCATTCTTAAAATCTAGTTTTAAAAGAACATGCATTTTGGATTGTCGTCGCGTTCAATTAGGTTTCGAAACGAGTGTGCAGCTATTTCTGCTCCTCGTTTGGTACCGCATCCTACCTGTACATTTCCGAAAAAATTTTGTCGCCTGGAGAGGGCCTTGCTTCCAGCGCATTTAGACGCAATGCGTCTCAGCGTGTTGCCTCTGGCAATCGGTCTCAACCCTCCAACTGTCTTTATGAGGGCGATAAGCTTTGCGCCAAAAAAGAAAGATCTTAGGGGTTCGGGTTATTTGCCAACTCCAGTGAGGTTTATCAGCTTAGTAAGCGATTTCAGAATATTAAGTCCTGCACTGCCATTCGACTTACTAGCAAAATTTGAGGAACTATCTAATCAGGACCTGCTGCTGATCCGTTCAGAAAGGAGATTATCGCTTTGTATAAGTCGAAATCGGTTACGAAAAAACTATTCAAACATTCTGGATTTGGAGCTGCAAATTTGGCTCGCTGAGGGTGCATAGCCAATAATTTTTGATAGTTATCAGTTGAAAAGGAGCAATTTTCTCATCCGAAGTAGCAATCCTTATTCCTCCCTTTACATTACCTTCATCGAGCTTACTAATTATTAGCTTTATTCTCTGCTCGAGGTCACTCAGAGGCGGGCTTGAAATTTGTGGTTCCGGTTTTGGAAGTGACAAGTCACTTGCTCGAAATTTTTTGTTTATCAAACAGCTCATGCTTGTGATCTGTTTGCGTCCACTTTTTTTCGGTTGCTCCAAAAATAACGAGAACGACGTTAAAAAAATTAGCTATTTGGTAAAATCTTCTACATTGTAGACGATGTCATTTATTTTGTCCGACATACTTTCCGCCAAGGGAACACGCGAGTCTTTTAGTACTCTCTTGGGTACTCGGACATTTGAGATGGCTGTTTTAACATAATTGTCTAGCACTAAATCATAACCTATTGTTGCTTTATTAACAGACTTTACACCAACTCATAAAGGACACTGAAACCATTGGGTTTTCTTAGAGTCGCTAAGAGAAATATTTACACAACTAAAATGATACCAACTGGAACAACGATCACATCTAATCCCATTTATCATTCCTGAAGGTTTTAAGCAATCTTTGCTTGTACACTCATTGTTGTTTTTCCTCATCTTGACGCAGCGTAAAGGTAAAAAAAAGGATTTCGACTGGATTTTAGGGGACTGAACTAACCCATGATAAGCGGTTAGTGGGAATTTTATAAATCAGCAAATAAAAAAAATAAAAGACAATTAAATGAATTAAAATCGAATTATAAAAATCAAAAACAAGGAACAGTCTCACCCGAGCTCAGTAGGTGCAGCGGTGCACCACCAGACTCTTCAAGCCAGTTTCAGTTTCCCACCTCCCCACAGAAAGCCACTTGACATGCCTGTCTCTAAAATCCCTCAGAGGGCGCTCCACATACAGGCACAAACATCAAACATAACAAATCTATTTAATAAGTTTATCACAACAATTAGGCTAAAAGTTCATACACTAGTCAAGGTCAAAAAGTTTTGAAATAATTCTAACCTCGAAACAGTGAAATGGTTTTGAAATTGTAAACTCACTTTCATATTTGCATTTAAACTGAAATTGCATTTGAATAAAAACCCAATAGACACGAAAACATTTAGCTCCGTCATAACGAAAAAAAATTATTAAAAAGTGAAATCGAACGTTTTCGGAACTATATTCATCGTCAGGTTAATAAAAATGATTTAGAGTGATTTACAGACGTTAAAACATCACAAAAGACCATTAAGTGGTTCTAAACAAAAAACGCTTTCCACTAATCAAATTTTAGCATTATAATGTAAGAATTTCGTGATCCTTTGTTTTATCAAAGAGCCGCTTCATTTTCAAAGCTCTTAATTTTCTGAAATTTTTAATGTTACTTAGCGTTTCCTTAAACTAAATTTTCGATTTTACAAATTTTTGATTGAAATGTTCGATATTTTAAACCAAAAATGTTTTTGAACTGAAATCTAAGTGTTATCTCCCTGCTCCTGAATTCATCCCGCATGTTGATCCCTGGCCTCAGCTCCCTAACATACAGCGCTTCCAATTTAGGAGTTTCATTGCGTTGTTTGAATGATCTATTATCTCCCAAGTCAATTGAGCAGTGGTCGCTTCCTCTCCACACTGACTTATGTGAATTCCAACAAAGGAGTCCTCTTCCTTTCGTTCCTCAATCCTTGTGGCCAATTTTCGAACAGTTTGTCCAACATAGGTGGAATTACATCCACAACAAGATAGTTTGTAAACCACATTAGATTTCAGATCACGGGAGAATAACAACTGAAGGGGGTAAGAGTAGGTTTTAATTTACTGGTCGAGAATACAGTTTGTGCGCTGGTGATGCTGCACACCTTGTTTGCAAACAATTGATTTTGATTTCCTCGATTTTGAAGCATGGGCTTTGGGGGTATCTTGTCTCGCTTGTCATCGGTTGTCTGGGTTTCCGTCTAATTTGGTATTAATTTTGCTCCAAGAGTTTTGCTAAGTGTTTCCGACTCATCTTTGGATGACCACTCCTCTAAAGATTGAATTTCCTTCCATTGCTTTCTATTGATCAGCATTGTTTTATGGTCAAGTTCCCATGTAGATGTGCTCCTAAAAAACCTGTGCAGCGTACCCTCTATTATATTTTTCTGGTACTGCATTTTTTTTGCGCAATTTCTGAACCTTAGAAGCATGCCAATTTCCGTTAGCTTCTGGTACCATCCACATTTAAAATGCCTTATATGGCAATTTATAGTCACCCTTATAAAGCAATTTGGGCATTTTCCGTTTAAAGCCCAAAACCCTTATCAAACAGTACCGCAATTAGTTCGTTGTTTTTTGAGATATTTTCTAGCTTTTTCAGTTCCCATATTATGTGGAGTCTGGCGTACTTTTTCGTGTTACATTTAGCAGCCGCTTCATTTTCAAATAATTTTGTGCCAAGCACGTCATGCTTCTTTGTTTCCGACAAAAAGTTTTTATCTCTTCTAAAAAGTGGACTTCATTGAATTTGTCTCGCAAAAATTCGAAGAAAAATTTTAAATAATTTTTGAATGAAAAATCGTTTTGCAACTAGTCGGTAATTAATTCATATACGATACCTAACCAATCTGTATATAGGTTAAGTGTTGTGATAAACTTAATAAATAGATTTTTCTTAGTTCAAATTTACTACTTGTTTGTTTTCATATCAAATGCCCATGCGCGCTGGGTTTTGTTCTTCTGATTATCTTGCCAAATCTCGCTGTCCCAGCCGTCGGCGAGTGAAGCATCTCTGGCGTATCTAGACGCAATAAGGAGTGAGCAGGTGAAACTGCCCTTCAACAAAAACATAGATTGTACCGCTCCCATCTATCAGTTTTAAATTAAACTCTTTGATTCATTGACCAACCACCCCACATCTTTTTTTAAAAGCTGCTCCGTTGCCTTTGCTGTCTGTGTTTCAGGTTGATGCCTCCAATTTTAGGCAAGGCACATCAAGGTCTTTTCACAGCAGCTTCTAATTTGCTCATCGGGGTCGAAAATAACCAAACCAGCTCTAGTAAAATCTACAATCCACTCGTACCGCGACGCCACACTCCAAGATCTCTATGAAACAGTTTTACAATACAGAATAAAGCGCCTTAAAACAGTAACCATTATCACCGGGTTTAATGATAATAGGCTGCATCCACGAAGTTGAGCTAAAGTGGAAAAACTTAATCAATTCAATTGCAAACAAGTTTCAGCCCAAAACCCTAACTGTCCCCAAAACAATCCAAAGCTCCAATATAAAATGATGTTAATCCAAACTCTATATTCAAAACCATGTACTGTTTAGCATAATTTAAAAAGCTGTTCATCCATACACACACTCATTGTACCGGCCAATCTTACGTTAAATCTAACCCTTCAAATGTTCTGCCGAGACGGCATCCACTTCTCGTTCTTTGGTAATGAGTTCCTAACAAATTATCTTGCTTATATTAATTCTAAATTCTCTTGATAATCTGACGTTACCGTTCCTCCTCACATTGTATCATATGTAATAACCACCTACCCGGCCGTGGAGTGTGGTGCTGAACATGCGCAGCCTACATGCATATAATGTCTGACCAAGCACATTGTATCATATGTAAAAACCATCTACCCGGCCGTGGAAATTAGTGCTGAACATGCGCAGACTACATGCAAGTAAAATGCAGCGGCCTTAACCGAGGCAGCGACCATGATGACAATTTCAGCTGCATTCGCTGCACCTCCCTGACTACAGACAACACTACAACTGACGTCCAAGTCCCTTCAACTCAACCTCAACAAGCTCCTTCGACCAACGATCAAAATCCTGCAATTGCAAACAGCAACAAAAGTGTAATATTCACACACGACCCCTGTTCAAATCCCACAATAATGCACTGGAAATCAGTTTTAATGATCCTCGCAAAAAACATATTTTGGTGTAACTTCGTAGAAACTCTAAATAGAACCCTTAACTCGTTAATTGAAACACAAGAAAACACATAGGTAATGCACGCAACAATCATATTCCCTCCTCACATGCTCTGCAAAACCAAATCGGAGAGTGATGGTTCGAACTCCAAAACTAAAACAAGAAGACTTAACCGATGGCATGAAGGGAATTGGGACAAGCTTTTTAACGAGGAAAAAACGCGGCAAATGCGCTTTGTAAAGAGTAAAAACAGAAAGGAGAAGCTGAAGCACAGCAATTCAATAAAGTAATGAGTACCTGAAAAATATCGAGTGGTAATGCTAAATTAACTGATACCTCCGAGGGTGTTCTCTCACTCGTGGAAACCTTCAAAGGTCAAAGTATTGAGCAAATCCTCATTGAGAAACACCCTCCCGCGGAGCCAATAAACAACAACTATAGTTCCTTCTGCAATAAACAACAACTATAGTTCCTTCTGCAAAAAGGGCGCTGCAATTAACCTCTCTGGCTGCAGACAACACTACAACTGACATCCAAGTCCCTTCATCTCAACCTCAACAAGCTCCTTCGACCAACGATCAAAATCCTGCAATTTTAAACAGCAACAAAACTGTAACATTCACACACGACCCCTGTTCAAATCCCATAACTGAACTAAAAGATAAAATAAGAAAAATCTACAGCCAAATAGTGCACTGGAAATCAGTTTTCACGATCCTCGCAAAAAAACAGATTTGGGTTTAACTTCGTAGAACCTTCAACTCGTTAATTGAAATACAAAAAAACACATAGGTAAAGCACGCAACAATCATACTCCCTCACCTCATGCTATGCAAAATCAAATCGGAAAGTGATGGTTCGAACTCCAAAACTAAAACAAGAAGGCTTAACCACTGGCATGAGGGCGAACTGGACAACGAGGGAAAAACGCGGCAAATGCTCTTTGTAAAGAGTAAAAAAAGAACGGAGAAACTGAAGCACAGCAATTTAATAAATTAATGAGTACCTGAAAAATGTCAAGTGCTAATGCTAAATTAACTGATACCTCCGAGGGTGTTCTCTCACTCGTGGAAACCTTCAAAGGTCAAAGTGTTGAGCAAATTCTCATCGAGGAACACCCTCCCGCGGAGCCAATAAACCACAACTATATAACATCTTGCTCCGAAGATACAACCTTTTTCCACTCATCCACGTTCGACCAAATAAATGCCCAGAAAATTATGAAGGCTGCCATGACAACCCATCATTCTCTTGGACCCTCAGGCCTGGATGCAATTGCATACTACCGTACTTTGGTCATAAGTCAATTGAAACATAAAAGACACTAGCTAAAATTGCACAGAAAGTATCGACCGAAATACTAATTCTTAGGCTTCTTGAACCATTTAATGCTTGTCGCCTAATTCCATTTGATAAAAACCCAGGAGTTACGCCAATTGGCATAGGCGAAATCATCGATTATGCAACTCATACGCTTGGGAAGCAATACGAGAAAACAGATTCCGATGCAATATTACTGATAGACGAGGAAAATGTTTTTTATTCCCTAAACCGGAACCTGGCTTCGAAAAACATTGCAAGTATATGCCCTTCTATACTACCCGTTATGCAAAACTCATACTCTAATCCATCCAAACTCTTCGTAAATAAAAAAGTTTTCCTATCTAGAGAAGGAACTATATAAGTAGACCCATTAGCAATGACATGTACGGGCTAGCCATTTTACCTTCAAGAAAACCAGTCAACGATATCAGCTTAAGTCAGAAATGGTATGCAGACGATGGTAATGCAGCCAGAAAATCTAAAAGCCTGCAAACAGTTCTTGAGAATATTATCAAACCGAAAAATGTTTTTGATATCATGTTAAGGCATCGAAATGCCAGCTCATTGTGAAATATGAAAAACACAAAAAGATGCGTTAAAACTATTCAAAAACATCAAAATTGAAATAGAGAAAGGGGCCAGAGAACTTGGTTCTGTCATAGGATCCGAGACTGAATGTAAAACTTTCTTAAAAACTTAGGTAGAAGAACATA